GAAACAGCTTGAATCACAGGAGCTGTCGAACACTTCTCACACTCGGTAGCACGTGATGTCGTTTCTTACGTCACAGAAGGATTCCGGCAGATGGCGCCACGGTATGTCCTCACCCGCAATACTCTCTGCGGTGCCTTAACTGGAAAACAGCCGACAACCGTCAAGGGATTGTGCAGAGACATTGTCTTTGCCAACTTCAAGCTAGATCTTCTCGAGGAACGATTGGCTCGCCATTTCACAGACCATGAAGTAGCAAAATTTATGAAGAACAGAATGTAGAACATGAACAATTAGGCATTGTATATAATGTGATGTCCATTGTAAATAATGTGATTGTATATGATGTGCATCGCATAAGTTCGGTGTGTGCATGAGCAATGTCCAATGGTGACGTCATGGCATGAATTCACGGTACTGACCGTCGCTTGCGTTGATAGTCGGCAGTCCGAGCATGCGTCCAGACTGTCCTGCTTTCGTGTATCGTTATCGCGATTCGCGACAGCGAGATCGCCGTTACCACCGAGATCGACAACTCAGCGCGAATGCGTTCGCTAGCGGGGAAATGGAGATCAAAGGCGAACGAAAGCAATCGTTGCACGATCGTTGCAAATTTTTTGCTAAGGGTCCAGGGATGAGAAAATGAAAGACGCCCATTGAGAGAAGCGGATAAATTGGCGGCAACGTAGCAAAGCGGCGCTCTCACGTACTCGCGCGCCTTAAGTGATCCAATTAAAAGAAAAGAAAGAGAGAGACGAATGCAACTTAGCTCCGAAACGGTCACGCATTTTCTATAAATTTCTCTGAGCTATGACAGGATACCTTTGCGTGTAACAGAAGTTAAAGATTTGTCAATTAACTCTCTGTGACTTCGTTTGCCTGCGGCGCCACTTTGAGAAAGGCAGACGAGTCGGTGAGTGTCAGCGTTGACTACATAAGTTTTTTTTCAAGTACTCGTTCACCCGAACAAGGTGTGATTTTAGGCGTGTGTCAGTGGTGGTCTTGAATATGAAAGGTATACTGTGGTGCCACTTGGTGAGGTAGGTATGGTATACTGTGGTGCCACTTGGTGAGTTCAACGAGGATAACGTAGGGATCCTCACTTTCGTTTGTATGTGTGTTACGTATAAGCTGTATGTTACCTAGTGCACATATGCCGTTTTGGCATGCGCTATAGCCGCCTGCTTTTGTTCGATCGTATTTACGAACACTTACGAGTAATGGTCGGCACTGCGTTTCGTGACCCGCTATTTTTTTCCCCAATACTAGCGTTGTCAGTAGAGGCTGCAGTATAAATTACAATCACTGTTGCGACAGACGAACAAGCGTGTTGAAGACACCACGAGTAGTGAGGCGCGCTGGTTAAGGTGCCCGGCTTCTGACCCGATCGTCGTGTGTTCAGTCTCGGCCGGAGTAGCCTCATTTGGATGAAGGCCAAGTGGTAGAGGTTCGTGTACTGTGTGAAGTTAGTTCACGTTAAAAGAACACTAGATGTTCGAAATTTCCGGAGTTCTCCACTACGGCGTCCCTCACAACCATGGCGTATTTTTGCGACGTTCAACTCTAAATACTAATAACACGAGGAGTATTCGATACGATCGAGAAGTAACCTGGTTCACAACGCTTCGTTCACGCTCTGAACACTCCTGTGGTTAAACAGACTTTAACTAATTCTTGTATACCTGTTTTCTTTAGTGCAACGAAAAGCTTCTTTGTCAGAATGTCTCATCACCATATGGTACCGGGGAAAACGCGCGAAATATTTGAAAATAAAACTTATTTTTATCATGCGGCGTCTGAAGGGTCGTACACACAAGCTATGCGATGAACAGTGGGAAGAGAGCGTGATGGCGGTACGGGATGGTGCACCAATATTTGCGGCTGAGACGTGCTCACGCGTGCACACTGTAACCTGTTCTAGTAGTGGCCGCGAAGGTGAGCCGTCTACTTATTTAACCTCGTGAGCAGCACGAAAAAGAGTGGAGATGGATAATAACACTGATACCGAAACCTCTAGAACTGTTTATGATGCGCATCGAAGAATCAGACTGCGTACAGCGAACGGAACGACTCCATCTTGCAGCAAAGAAGCAGTACATTATATTAGAACGCAATTTAAGAATAGGATACTCAAACTGAGAAAGAATTCTTGAACTGGTCAATATAACTCATACTTTTTTTCGGAAGGTTTGAGCGCACGTTTGTTGGAAACAAGTAACTTGTGCCTCAGAAAATCCCAGTCTCTAGACGGCGGCAAGATTATCTTTGCACCTACCCATTTACAGATCGTGCGCGTGGAAAGATTGTTTGCATCTTTATAAAAAAATAAAAAGGAGATCAATGGGCGAAAATATTGCGACAAGAACACCAAAAGCACAAAGCGAAACGAAATGTTGCGTAAGGGACCAAGTAGGCAAGCATAAGCGACATGCCAGTTATATGGACTTAGTTCATTCAAATTTGTTACGATGTCTAGAACATTAAAAAATTGAACCTGCACCACTTTGCGGACGCTGATAAGGCAGCGAAGGTGTCGACCATCCCTACATCAGGCTATTGAATTGATATGTTTTGCAAGACTTTGAGATACCTTGTATGAATGTTAACCAGCTTTTGGGTTGTGTAATGATGAATGTAGTGGGTCATGCAAATCTCGGCAAACACATTGTCAGTGCTAAGCACGAGACGCTCGGCCCGGACTGTCGCTGATTTCGCTAGCTAGGCCTACGCTCTTACCTGGTCTCGAAAAACAGTTTTGACTGTCTCAGTTCTTTATTATAATTGGTGGAGGTGCTGGGTATCGTCACTAATGACCAACTTCGCGTAGGAAGGGCGATCGTGCACTGGTGGCGCATCACCAAGGGGACAAAAGGCGACTTCGGCACGGGCGCAATCAATGACGGCTTGGGGATGGGAGAGAAAATCCCAGCCTAAAATGATGTCGTGAGAACAGTGCGGGGGTACTACGAACTGCACTGTGTAGGGCATGCCTTGAATTACAAGTCTGGCAGTACACGCGGCCACAGGCTGCACAAGCTGTGCAGTGGCAGTACGAAGACACGAACCCAAGTAAGGCGGTGTCACTTTTCGAATTGAACGGCAAACTTTTTCGGCGATGAGAGAAATTGCGGCACCAGTATCAATAAGGGCAAGTACGGGTACACCTTCAAGAACGGCATTAATTACATTCGGCGGCGAACGAAGAGGGCTTGTGCTTTGCGACAAGGACGCAGTTCTTGCCTCGGGAACTGCGTCATTTAGTTTTCCGCTTCGATTGTCGTGGGGCGTCGGCGCATCGGGGAGGGCGAGCGACGACGTGGAGAAGGAGATCGGCGATCAGAAGGTGGTCGGTGGCTTGGTCGAGGCGGGTGCAATTCGGGGTCTGGAGTGTATTGAGTGTACGTGTAATCGTTCTCATATGGACGTGGGTTTTCACGTGAGTGGAGTGAGCGACGGCGGCACAGGCGTGCGGCGTGCCCAGGTATACACGAAAAGCAGATCGGCCGGTTGTCGGCAGTGCGCCATGGATTAGGGACTCGGCGAACTGGAGGTCGTGGCGGCTGGGCGGCATAAACAGGAGCAGGCAGTGGAGGCGGCGCTTGGAACGTCTGTGGTCGTGGTCGTGCTGCTGCTTCAGCGTACGTCAATGGTGCATTCACTGGTGGCACCAGCTGCGCAGGAAGGACCTCAGACACTTGATCTCGTATAATAGTCCGTAGAGTAGGGCTAAGCGGCGCACTGCGCTCCGGTAGGCCAGAGATGAGCGAGAGTTGGCGGGCAACTTCTTCGCGCACGAAATCTTTGATCTGCGAGAGGAGGACGGGGTCTTGCGAGTGAGTTAAGCCGGACATCGATTCCTGATGTCGGACAGCACGGCGGGTGACGACACGTTGCCGGAGGAGCTCATCATAGCTTTGGCAGAGCTCGGTAACTTAGGCGACAGTAGCAGGGCTTTTTGAAATGAGCATCTGGAAAGCGTCCTCGTCAATACCCTTAAAAGTACGCTTGATGCAGTCCACCTCTGTCATGTTCACATCGACGCGTTTGCACAAGTCAATGACGTCTTCGCATTGTCAGTGCTAAGCACGAGATGCTCGGCCCGGACTGTCGCTGATTTCGCTAGCTAGGCCTACACCCTTAACTGGTCTCGAATAACAGTTTTGACTATCTCAGTTCTTTATTATAGTTGCAGTATAGTCACCACCTTTTATAAACACGAAGTGGCAGAGGTGTTACTGTGGTAGTGGTCTCAACATTTGTTGGGCGAACTGTTGCCGCCTTCCTTTGTAGTCAACGTTGAGTGTAGTTGAATCTACGCAATTTCTGTGGCACATACGTGTTTGTGATCATAGTTTTAATAGGCCGCAAGGATTTATGTGACCCATGCTCGTTTATCGACCTATCTAGTTGTTGCCTTCATATTCAGTGAGGCAGTGATGAGCAGTGTGGTTGACCCAATGTCTGGGGCGCATATCCCGTTTACGATGCCCACATGCATTATCGTAAATTTTGAACATAGAAGCTTGGACTAAAAGCATATTCATCGTTAGCAGGGAAATTCGTGGACATAGGAGAAGTTAAATAGATCTGTACGCATTGCGTTTCTTTTGTTCGCTTTACACTGAAGGCAATGTCTGAACTACTATCGTGCTTCGTTGGTCAACTACGTAATTGTCGGGTGGATCCATAAATAGTAAAAGGCCGTTTTCAAGAAACATGCTGGAAAGTTTACAATAATGTACGGGGTGGGTCCAAAGTTATGACCATGCTGTCATGGGAACACGTGGGATAGTGATCAGCAAACGTTTTGCTCGTTTCTGTATCTCGTACTTGAATTAAATTATGTTCAGTGGAATCCGAGACAAATAGTTCCTCGTACGTATACAATGGTACTCCAAGCACCGACATTGTGTTCATTCATTTATTCTGAAGCAGTTCACAACACCAATATTTTATTGTTCGTTTATCACGATTTGTTTTATTCATTGGCTACAGGTGAATCAAAGTTGAGCTGTGAATGTGTGTACTAACTACAGACTCCACGTAGTGAAGTTGTCCAGCATTCCACGCACTTCAGCGTCACATTTGGACTCTGTCTTGAAGGCAGCGCTGCGTGAAAAAAAAAAATAAAAATTATGGGTGACAGTATGCTCCCGTTGGTACTGAACTTGGTCGTCCTTTCAACTACTCGAGAATTTCGCATCAAAGCCTGGTGTGTCGTTTCCTGGTTAGGCAAAATGTAACGTGTCTGCATATGTGTTCTGCAAAGGTCTGGCCGAACGAAAACATTCGGTGGGTTCTACCAAATTAATCATGCACTATATGCTACTTCTGTAGTGCATTGTTTGTCGATGCTTTTGATGGACACGTTGCTGGAAATGCTAGAAAGAAATTTACAAAATACTTTGGTAGCCAATAAGGTGCAACCTGGTTACCCTCCATGCACTGCCTTTGCCCTTCTCTTCCTCTGTTTCTCTATCTTTAAACAAAACGTGCTCATTAGCGGCTACACCACGATGAAGCTCATACTCAATCTCTCCTCTAGATTGTACAGCAGCGTTCAGTATGAAAAGGGAATGGAAGGCAAAGTACAACTGAGCGTGGACTCTTAATACCACTCCATAAACGTCACGGTTCTTGTTCCGTGCCAAGCAAGTGTTTAGTTTGAGAGAAAAATGTCGTTTTAGTGGTTCGCATACTGCTTCCAGAATCTTCCATCGGCTGGCAACATTGCGCCTCCACTGAAAACGCACGTGAAGATACTTCTTGTTATTCTTGTTTTGTTTGTTTTACTGGCTACCGCTGCTTGCATTATAATGCGATAATTTTCGTCGAAGCGCGTGATACTTGGACACTGCTGTATATAGTCGAGAAGCTGCATGCAATCCGGCCGTTAGTGCTGTAACGCGGCCGTCTCAGTATAAACGGAAAAAAGACTGCTGCAAGTGACTGGTAGCCGGATCGGCGAGATAGCGACATGCGACACTGCGTTTTTTTTTCTTTCCGCGAGGGCGCCGATATCGAGAATGCCTATCACATTCCATTTTACAAAGCAGGGGTGGCCGAGGAAATTGCTCCAACAAGCAGCGTTTTCTTCATTGATTGATTAATTGATTGATTGTTATGTGGGGTTTAACGTCTAGAAACCACCATATGATTATGAAAGACGCCTTAGTGGAGGGCTCCAAAAATTTCGACCAGACGGGGTTCTTTAACGTCACCCAAATATGAGCGCATGGGCCTACAGCATTTTCGTCTCCATCGAAAATGCAGCTGCCACTGCCGGGATCCCGCGATCTGCGGGTCAGCTGCCGAGTACCTCAGCCACTAGACCACCGCGGCGGGGCAAGCAGCTTTTTTTTTCCGGGCCAGCGCAATAATCATACGGCTGCTCGCAAGCTCAGCGAAAAAAATCACCGCCCAAGCACTCCGTACAAATGGTTGACAAGCCCAAGCTAAAACGTTTTAGTTCGGGCCCCAATGTTGAGCACTTGGTTCAAGCCGACGTGGCACTGAAGCGTTTCACAATTACTGGTTACATGTTCCTGCTTCTTAATGAGATGAGACACACCTTTCACTCGGGTTTACCACAATGTTTACTTCACATGCCGGATATTGTGTCTCGCATAGGTAACAGCTACGGAGAAAGGTTGTGAGCGATTAAATGCGTTTCGCATTGCGTTAATCAAGGTGGTTGTTCTCGAACCACTGGTGGTCACAGACGTCGCAGCTGAAGCCAATGGGCCGCTAGAGAAACTCCCGCCGAAAGGGGCATTCACCCCCGCGAACACACTCTGACGCCGCCACACCGCGTTGTTGCAAGCGTCAAGCCCGGCGCCACGGCTGCAATGACGTCACTCAACGTGGCGCGCGCGCTTGGGAACGACGTAGCTGATAACACAGCCAATAGAGAGCGCACATGACACCGCTGCCGAACGGATTTCCGTTCCTTCTAGCCATATACAGATATCGCCGATAAAAACAAAACCAGGATATCGTGTTCGTACCGGTAAGAAATGAACAAGCGTTTTCTTAAGTTATGGGCTTCCGCATGGGCAATCCACCAGCTAGCCCTGCTTTGGGAAATGGAATCTGCCTGGCGATCCAAGGCAATTTCGCTATCGCTGTGCCCGTGAACAACGTTCAGCGCCGCGTATCGCAGTTTTGTGGCTCCGGCCATCACTCACTTGTGCTAATGTTTTTCGATTTGATTGATATGTCGTGTTCAACGTCTCAAAAACCACCATATGATTATGAGAGGCACCGTAGTGGAGGGCTCCGGAAATTTCGCCCACCTGGGGTTCTTTAGCGTGCGCCCAAATCTGAGCCCACGAGCCTACATCATTTCCGGCTCCATCGGAAATGCAACCGCCGCAGTCGGGATTCGATCCCGCGACCCGCGGGTCAGCAGCCGAGTACGTGCTAATGTTTTTCGTTGAAACTGCGTGTACGTGTGCGAATTTGGGCTGGCACCGTTCGGTATGCGTCTTTCTACGCCGCCGGTGCACCGTGCCCCCGAAATGCGGCACGATAAAACCTGTCCACTTTGCGTTCACCTGTGCGATCCGCGTCGGACCAACGTTCATACCGTGCTAGGAGTCGTGTGGAAGGCGCCTGTCCACTCATTGGGCTCTGAGGTGCGGCGATTGACACTTCATGGAAAGATCCACGAAAATGGTATGTAGTCTTTGCTCTCGAAAGAGCTTTCCTTTTTAAAACATTGACATAATCCTTTATTTCAATATGCGGCTCCCCCCAAAAGATCGAGTAAACAGTGCTAGAGAAATGAATATCTTGAAGGATGCGTTGCACAACTTCCTTACGCGACAGTTGATTTCTTAATCAACCATTCCTACATGAAGTGAGCACTCGAGTAAAGTTTGTTGTTATTCATCTTACCTTCGCCGAAGTGCAGCACTTAAACGCTTAGACACTTCGAGTGTAGGATTTCCCTTCATAACACCCATAGGAATGTTTTTAATTTCGTTGATGCAGCGAATATCACAAGGACGTCACCTTTTTTTCGAAATATGCAGTTAGAGCGAGTTTCGTGAGCCAGCAAAGCTCGCGCCGCAGTGTGCGATAATCAAACTAGCCTTGAGGTGCGACTAAACAAGCTATAACTGGCAGTGTGACGCGACCACCTGAGCGAAGCGCAGCCCAGGTGAAACGGGACTTTGGAACCGCCCGCGTCGTTCGCCGTGGTAACGCCAGTTCCTTTTTTCCACGAAGCAAACAGAAACGAACAAGCAGCATTTACGGTCTGAATGCATACAAAGCTCGTAATAAGGACAACAGAAGATCAAGAACATAAAAAGCGCGAAGAATAAGGACATAACTCAAACAATGAATAAGAAAGACATTTTAACACTTTAACAATACAGGTCAAGATACAATATGTTCAATTGAGTCAATGCTATTTATGAATAATGCTGGTAATTGATTCCATTCGGTTACAGTGCGCGGGAAAAAGGAGAATTTGAAAATGTTAGTTCTAGCATTGAAGGGCGTTAGAGAGTCGGCATGCCGGTGTCTTGTTCTGCGAGCGGAGAGTGGTTGGATGTATTGTTCTGGTCTCATTGACAATTTGTTATTCTTGAGAAGATAAAGAAATTTTAGTCTTGTTTTTCGATTTGATTGATATGTAGGGTTTCAACGTCCCAAAACCACCGTATGATTATGAGAGGTGCCGTAGTGGAGGGCTCCGGAAATTTCGCCCACCTGGGGTTCTTTAGCGTGCACCCAAATCTGAGCACACGAGCCTACATCATTTCCGGCTCCATCGGAAATGCAACCGCCGCAGTCGGGATTCGATCCCGCGACCCGCGGGTCAGCAGCCGAGTACGTGCTAATGTTTTTCGTTAAAACTGCGTGTACGTGTGCGAATTTGGGCTGGTGCCGTTCGGTGTGCGTCTTTCTACGCCACCGGAGCACCGTGCCACCGAAATGCGGCACGATAAAATCTGTGCACGCTGCGTTCACCCGTGCGATCCGCGTCGGACCAACGTTCATACCGTGCTAGGAGTCGTGTGGAAGGCGCCTGTTCACTCATTGGGCTCTGAGGCGCGGCGATTGACACTTCATGGAAAGATCCACGAAAATGGTATGTAGTCTTTGCTCTCGAAAGAGCTTTCCTTTTTAAAACAGTGACATAATCCTTTATTTTATTATGCGGCTCCCCAAAAAAGATCGAGTAAACAGTGCTAGAGAAATGAATATCTTGAAGGATGCGTTGCACAACTTCCTCACGCAACAGTTGATTTCTCAATCGACCATTCGTATATGAAGTGAGCACTCGAGTAAAGTTTCTTGTTATTCATCTTACCTTCGCCGAAGAGCAGCACTTAAACGTTTTGACACTTCGAGTGTAGGATTTCCCTTCATAACACCCATAGGAATGTTTTTAATTTCGTTGATGCAGCGAATATCACAAGGACATCACTTTTTTTCTAAATATGCAGTTAGAGCGAGTTTCGTGAGCCAGCAAAGCCCGCGCCGCAGTATGCGATAATCAAACTAGCCTTGAGGTGCGACTAAACAAGCTATAACTGGCACTGTAACGCGACCACCTGAGCGAAGCGCAGCCCAGGTAAAACGGGACTTTGGAACCACCCGCGTCGTTCGCCGTGTGAACGCCAGTTCTTTTTTTTTTTTCATGAAGCAAAGGGAAACGAACAAGCAGTATTTTACTGCGTCTTGTAATGCACTAAATGTTATTTCTTATTTTAAATTGTACGAGTACTAGTTAATAATTGTTATCGAGACTCTTTACGTCACCGGGATCATTCTAAAATGTTCCACTCAAGGCGCATATATGATGTCGTACGTTCACCTTAATTTTTCGATTGTGGAGCACCGCTGTCGATAATATTCAAGTGTTAGGCGTTCATAAGGGACATTTATTGCAACTAAATTGTTATTTGCTTTTCGTGTTCCTCAAACACTTTTAAAATGAACACTTGAATGAACACCTTTGATATGGTTTTCCCGTAAACTGCAAATGATTGTGGAAGCTTCGGACGTGCACGACACTAGCTTGTCAAAAGGAGTGAGCACTGTCAACCACCAGCACTCTTACGGATTTCTAAGTCACAATACTTCTGCAAGAAAGTGAAATCGGGACATGCCCACATCGATGGCGTTCCCTTTAGTGACAGACTTGTCTGTATATTTCGGACAAGCAGAAGTAGTGGCGTTTACCTGAGAAACTATGTGCATATTTGTCTGACATATGTATTATAGGATCCTATATGTTCGCGCGTGCAGTTCTTTATACAATTCTCTGCATTGAAGCAAAATACGCATTTGCTCACCAGCGCTGTTTTTCAGATACTCACCCCTGCGTTGTCAAACATAGTAATCTCATCGGGTGTCATACCGCTGGATGCCTGTAGAAGAACGACAAAGTTTCGTTTTAATAAAGTGGAGGAGGTGTAGTCGTTGAAACATGCTATTTATGAAACGTTCTTCGTGAGTATAGAATCACTCCGTTCGGGGCCTATCGCGATGTTTGAGCTATATTTTGCTACGAAGCAATCTCTTAAATGACGTTTAGTCCGGCAGGTGAAGATGGGATACTATAAGAACTTTGTGTTGGGCTTATTACCTGGTAAAACACCATAATGGTTCTCGAAAAAGTAGCACCCATGGTGCTGTCCACTTCAGGAAGAATGTTCAAAGCACTTGCGCTACTGCTGTGCGGAAAGTCGCGGGTGTGCTCCCGAATGTGGGGACCACTTTCAGGTGGTAGTTAAATGCGTAAACGTTCATCGATTACTGGATGCTTCAAGTATTTTGTTCTAGAAAGGCTAGAAGAAACATTGTATTAGTAGACACTTGATGGTAGAAAATAAATCAACAGTGTCATTCCCCCCCCCCCCCCCTGCCTAGGACCCATAATGTAGAACATTTTTTGAGCGCGTGTAACCTCTGTACTTCCTCCCTCCTTCTAGAGCATGAAATTTCATAATTTTATTTCGTAAAATAATATGTTGATTTTTTCTCGACAGAGTATTGGTGTGTGCAACTGCCTGACTTTAATAGGTTACAGAAAATAATGTACCTCACTATAGTAGCTTTCTTCTCAAATGTAATTAATCGCTGATTCAAGCAAAGTGAATGAACAATTGCTTAATACAGCTCAGTTATTCTTGGGTCGATTTGCTCGCATGTTTAATAAAATTGGACAAGTAAACATTCGAAGTTCCAGGGTACTTACTCTAATGTGAGTAAGGGTGCAGGGACTCCTTCATTTTCTCACCATGAAACTAATTTGTGAATTAGATACGGACACGTTCTGTTGTGTTACTAGTAGTAGCGTATGTATTCGATGGGTGTTGTCATAAAATTGTCTCAGATCACCAAGGAACCAACTGACTAAAGTATAACGTTACAAAATACTACTGTAGAAATGTTATTCCACAATCACTTATAACAATCTGGACGTAAGGAAAGGAGAACAGCGTACTTACCTTGAATCTATCGGCTCTCTCTTGAAAGCAAGTTCTCAACTGCAAAAGTTCAAGGCGTAAACTCACAAAGTGCAAATAAATACTAAGTGGAAACCTACGAAGTGTTGCAGTACTACGTTATTGCTCGCTGTGGGTGCATCTAAGACAACGTATTTGTCTATAATACTTGCTGAGTGCAGGCGCTTAAGCTCGTTCAGAACACAGGAAATAGCGTGCACTGAGTTCCTACACTAAGTACCTTCGTACAGGGTGAAGCGGTGTTAATTTATTAAGGCAGTACATCCTTTAAGGCTATGGTGACACATTAACATATGTTAGTGTGTACACAACGTGGATTTTAGCTATAAAGCTGCTTTCTTGATGCTGTAGATACCTATTGATCAATCAATCAGTCACTACAATGCACATTTTATTGATAATCGCTTTCCTCTCATTTGTTTTGTTTTCGCCTCTGACCAGTGTCATATTGGATTCAAGGTTAAGGTTAAGGATGTTGTAGGTAGCTGGCGGATTTAGCCTTGCATAATTTGCAGGCGATTGTCCCGCCCTGTTTTCTCTTTGTTATTTGCGGCTAATTTTCTTTGTTTTTTTAACTAAGCAAGAGTAGGCTTTTAAAATAAAAACAATTTGCATTGCGCGACATAAGCCTGCATACGACGGCGGCCTTTGTGCTATTCCACGTATAGTATTGTGCTGGTACTCAACTCGCTGCACTATACGCCAAACATAATTGTCACTTATCACCAGTCACATGCGAGATCTGTAGCATCCAAAAATTTCAAGAGAAGTCGCCACACCTGTTTCCTGAAGATTGTGGGACCACGCGGAAACACAATATTAGTCACGCTGCCACATGGCGAGCCTAACCATTGCAGTTCCTCGAATAAACCTTGCCGTTCCTTCTTAAGCTCACGACACTTGAGCAAATAGTGTTCCATATCACTGTTTTTTTTTTTTTTGCACTTCGGGGACAAGGGCGTTGCGCAGAGTCTGATCTTGTGGAGCCATGCTGGTGTACGGGCTGATCCCGTTCGGATGCGATGAAGCAAGCAGGCCTGTTCCCTTGATAGCCCTTTTGTCACACATTGCTGGTGAGGCGTCAGCCATAACGAGTGAAAATGCTCATTGACAGCTTCTCGTAAGATACGCTGATTGTCATTGGGAGCCTTCGTCGTTGATGTAAGCTCCAGAGCACTGCGGGCTAGTCTGTCAGCCGCCTCATTTCCCGCTATACCCACGTGTGATGGAATCTATTGAAACGTAATGTTTATACCAATGCCATGCAGGTCTTTGAGGATTCGCAGTGATCTTTGAGTGCATCAATCCAAAGCCAGTCTATGTTTTAGCCGCTGCAAAGCGGCCTTACTGTCCGAAAACAGGCACGACTTGTTGCTGCCTAGAAAACTTCAGTTTCTTCAGGGCTGCCTGAATTGCCACGTTTTCACATGCTGTCGATGAAACCACGCACTCGAGTCACGCTGCCCAGTGACGCCTTCAGATGACGGGATCACAAACGCTGCAGCGCTTGCTTCCGCGCACTGTCTCGACTGATGCATCGGTGAAAATTTTCACATAATCGGCTTACTTTTCTTCAATATATTCAAGTACAAAAGAACGCACTTATGCTGTGGGTGTGGAACACTTGCTGTGCATACGTGGGATCGTCACTTGACAGTTGACATCCTCATGTGGCCAAGGTAGGTCGTGTCGAAATTGTCTTGTTTGGGGAAATAGATGCCAAGAGGGCGAAGGGTGTTGAGGGCCACGAAAGCTCACGATTCCGTGCATCACCGAAGGCGTCTGAGCAGTGCTCGTCCTGGGCTTGATTCGCCAAAGTCGGCAAAGCTGTGTCAGCAGTTGTTGAGAGGCGAAAAGACGTAATGGCGGAAGACGAGCTTCATGAATCAACTTTATGCTCGCTGCAAACTTGGCACTCCCAAAGCGACTCTGAGGCCTTTACGATGAAGTTTTTCCAGCCGTTCGTACTGTGATTCACTCGGAGAGATCAGAGGCAATTGGAACAGCACACGATTGACAATTACTGCCGCGTGTAACTTTAGCATTGATGTTGGGTGGCTCCCCCAGCTTATTCCTGCCATCCTTCGAAGAATGTTTACACTGGGTGACAGCAATGACATTGTTTTGTCTACTGCCCGTCGCCAATTCATACTGGTGTCTAGTGTGACTCCAATGAATCTCGTGTATTTACCTTGTTTATTTGATGCATCAGAAAGTAATATTTCAATCCTTGTTTCTCGTCTTCACTTACCTGGGAATAGCATGAATTGAGCCTTTTCAGGTGACAATGTTACTCCAATAGATTCAAGATAGTTTTGTGCGGAGAATATAACTCTTTGGCCAATCATTTCCAATCGCATATGCTGATATCCAGACAGCCAGATGTATATGTCGTCGACATAAATTGATATTTGTACTGCCTTGCTCGCAGTCTTGAGAGCATTAGGTAAACCAGCCATGGCCATATTGAACAACATTGGAGACAGGAAACTGCTTTGTGGCGTTCCTCTGGTGATTTTCCTTGAGCCACTGAGTACTGTCCCTAACTACACCTGCATCGAGCGATCACTAAGAAAACGCCTGAACAAAGCGTAAAAGGTGTCCCGTTATTCCCATAGACGCAAGACCACAAATTATCGCACCTTGGACCACGTAGGCGTACGCTTTTGAAACGTCCAGAAATATTGCCAGAGTTGAAAAGCGGTATGCTCGTTGGTGTTCTATTTGACTCACCAAGTACAAGATGTTGTCCTGTGCACTCAACCGTTGCCGAAACCCAGTCATACATTCTGGAAGGGCCTTGTGATTCTCCATCCACCATGTCAGCCGAACACAGTCCAGCTTCTCCATCAGCTTCAATACGCACGAAGTTAGTGATACTGGTCTGTATGATGCCAGTTCTGTTCTGTCTTTACCTGGCTTCAGCACTGGCACGATCCAGGCCATTTTTCAGACTTGAGGAAATTTTCCCGACTCCCAAACACAGTTGAAATGCATCAGAAGCCTGCTCTTGACTTCTGCAGGCCGATTTGAGATCAATTATTTTGTAATTTCCTTCAAGTCCAGGAGCACAGCGTCGACGGAGACAATGTATGGCCGAAGAAAGTTCCCACAGCGTGAATTGGATTCGAACAGATGAGTTCTACTATCGGTTGCTCCCAACAAAGTCACATGACTAAAGATGGGCTTTGAACTCTTTAACGTACCTTATGGCACGATAAAAAACACGAGAGAAGGACTTGCGCTTGTCTTTCTCTCGTTTTTTTTTTTGTGCCATAAGCTACGTTAAGAATGAACCAATTCGCCCAACAAGTCACCCCTCTTTCAACTCCAACGTACGATCCACAGTAAAAGTGAGGAAAACGAGTACTTTTCGGCAAAAGTATCGAAACTTGAGGACAGTGCTTTCCATGCTGAACTCACCACGTTGGTTCTGTTGGTGCGATCGGGGAAGCCTATGGCCCTGGCGGCGCACTCCGTGGCCGTTGGAATGATTCCATCTGTGAACTGGAAGAAATAAAATTGAATCAGACTGCCATAAAGGCACATTTTCAAACACCCACAGTGGGGTTTCTCCTCTGGAAAATAGTTCTTTCTGTGTCAACAATCACACTTATTTGAATGGTTAAGCTATCTGGAAGCTTAAATGTACCTAGAAACTGAGCGAGTAATAATCGGCATCGGAGCACATTGATGGCTTGCGAGCTATTTTTCAGTGCGGGTCGATTTGACAGAACGCAAGTGCTTCTTGACAGGGGCATACAGGCGTCCACTGTCATTGCTGACTGTAGAGCCCTGCCCCCAGTTAGCACCCACTGAAACGTACCGATGACATATTTAACTCCTACACTAACCTACCCTGGGTCTGATGTCCGTCTTTCTATCCGGCCTTTGCTCCTGCCCTGTGAAAACAATCGTGCATGCCAAGTACCCACTTATGCATGTTGTTTCGGTTTATGCTCTCCTTTTTGGCGCCTCCAATGGCGAAAAAAGTAAAAAGAAATGTGTTTGTTTAACCACAACGGCCACCAGTGCCGAGCCACAAGTGCCCTAAAATTACCATTGTTCATGTTCCTCAACAATATCCACCAGTATCATGGGGTTTGTTTTTAAACTTGCCTGCATGAAAATAACTTTATGAGAAGCTAAGGCTGTTAGCTGTTTTTCGTTACGCGAACAAGCACCTACAATTTTCTCTTACTTGTACTAAGATTAAAGCTTTTACCGAACAGGCTCTACAGCAGGACTATTCCACGGCATATTTTGCGTATGATGTTGTAACATGAACGTTATCTGAACTGCACGATGTCAGTAGCTCACAATAATTGTGCGGTTAATTGTATGCTTTATATGTGCGAAAGAATTATTGTACTTTAACACGTTGCTGTTCATTGGTCACGAATGCCTTTTAAAATGGCACCATGGTAGCAAGAACAAGCTGTTTGTAATTAAGCAGTGACTGCGTCTACGCGCAACAGTGCCTCCCATTAAGTTTCATTCACGACTAATGATCGGCTAAGCCGTGATGAAAACAAACTGGCAGATATTATCCGGGCACTACGGAACAGGTAAAGGTTACCCGCTGTATAATGGCTGGGTTAATGTCTCTGGCCATGAGCAGACATTCCCTCGTGCTGTCGATGCGGTCCATGAGCTGCTGTGCCATGGCGTCGTTGGGCACCAGCTGTCTCACCAGAGACTTCAGTCGGTCGATGATTAGATCAACTGCGAGCCGAGATAGTTATCGTTTGAGAAAAAAAACTAGTCTGAATAACATCAACAACAGTCATGATAAGTGATCTGCTTCAGCTATAGACCGCCCCAAAAGAAGCTACTTTAGAATGATCAAGCTCCTACTCCCGAGGGGAGCTGTTATAGGAGACGGTCAAATGACGTAGTTGTGACGATTCCTTCGGCGCATGTGATGACCTCTCTCGAAGACAACGCTTCGGTGTAATGAAAGGTCCGAAAATGATCACAGTAGACGACGTCGTGAGCTTCACTTACTATGGAAGCTTAATTAAGGATGGTCATGTGTCGGCAAAAAGATGTGTCACCTTCCTTTGCCTAGAAACGCTAGAATCAGTTTTAAAAGTTGTGCAGTTACAGTAGAATAGGAAACCTTACAAGATTACCTGAATCAGTGAGTACTAAAATTAAATCTATGCGCTCCCCATCATTCCTATGGTTAATGCGATCTGGTTCGGACAAACGCCCCTCCCACTAGACTGAAAACGTCTCTAGTAACCTTTATTCTAAAGCCAGAAAAACCGATCAACACTGAGAATCTCACACTCATTTCTCTTACTTCTTGTGCGGGGAGGCTAAAGGAAACTATGGTCAGGGATTGTGTCTCTCCCTCCTTGGAAAAACACCACATTTTCTCAGATTCTATGTATGGCTTCAGGCCCTAGAAACCTTCGCAGGACGTATTCATATAACTACACCACGAAGTACTTAATCCCGTAGAACACCCCCACAAAGCGCTTGACCTTGAAGGAGCCTTCGATAACGTCAAGCACGAAGTCGTCTTAGCTCACCTAAGTGCCACCAACTGCGGCGAGTGCACCTTAAACTACATTCAAAACTTTCTTACCGACAGAGCTGCGTACATTCGCATCCAAGGTCAGGAATACGGCCCCTATCCCCTTGGCACGCGAGGCACACTACAGGGCGCTGTGTTGTCGCCTCTGCTGTTCAACTTAGCTATGGCATAGCTCCCGGCCCGCTTGGCTGCTGTCGACGGGGTGAAGCATGCGCTTTATGTCGACGACATCACTCTGTGAGTCACAGAGGGATGCCTGGGAAGCATGGAGGACAGCCTTCAAACCGCAGCCAATATAGTGGACGAATATGCAGGCGTACTGCGGCCTCCAGTGTTCCCCACAGATGTCTGAATTCGTGCACCTTCGGCCGTCGGTGAAGTGCACCTCGTCCATTAACCTTTCCTTGCATAGTGGACCTATTATTTCGGGCACAGGAGATCCGTGTCCTTGGACTCCACATTTACAAACACCGCAGGGTCGAGACAACTCTTCACAAGCTGCGTAAGTTTAGAGAACAGGTCGGCCGCATGGTCTGCCGAGTCTGCAACAAGCGGGGAGGTCTCAAATGCAAAGATGCGCTTCGTCTCGCACATGCTTTTGTCACTAGTCGCATCTTGTATGCGACTCCATACCTCAACTTACGGAAGCACTACGGAGATTCCTTTGAGGTCACAAGGTCCTTCGCAAAATTGTCAAGAGAGCCCTAGATCTCCCAATCACTACTTCTAATGCAAAACTTCTTCCGTTGGGAGTGGTAAACACCTATCGGGAGATCCGAGAGGCTCACCTAACAAATCAATACATGCGTCTGGCGCAGACCCCGTCAGGCAGACGACTTCTAGATCTCCTACGCAATCAGCATGAATTCCACACAAAGGAGCGGGTACGAGTGCCTGAACATTGGAAATACGAGTTGATGTTCGACCCCTCCCCCCGCCCCCCCAAGATGTTTCGTTAGTCGCACGCTGGCCGTCGAGAGGCGCGCGCTCTTGCTCTCCGGCGCCAATTCGGCTCTAAACAAAACGTATCTTACACGGACATCGCCGGCCCTTACTGCGGGGCTTGGTATACGGCCGCCGTCGTCCACCAAGACAGGCAGGTGGATGGTCTGTCTTTCCGCGCAACCAATGCTACCCATGCTGAAGAGGTGGCCATAGCTGTGGCTACATCACACGACAGTTCTCAAGTTATATTATCATACTCCAAAAGAGCTTGCCGAAATTTTCAACTGGGATAGATCACACCCCTAGCTGCCAAAATTCTTAAATCTTGTCCGAGAGTATACCCCTCTCCGCGTTCAATGATTTGAGCTATGATATCCTTAACCCCCGTTTGTTCCCTAATCCACTCTGCTCTCTTCTTGTCTATTAAGGTTACACCTACAATTGTTCTTTCCATTGCTCGCTGCGTCATCCTCAATTTAAGCTGAACCCTCTTTGTAAGTATCCAGGTTTCTGCTCCGTAGTTAAGTACCGGCAAGATACAGTTGTTATATACCTTTCTCCTGAGGGATAGTGGCAATCTACCTGTCATAATTGAGAGTGCTTGCCAAATGTGCTCCACCCCATTCTTATTCTTCTAGTTACTTCAATCTCGTGCTTCGGCTCCGCGGTTATTACCTGCCCTAAGTAGACATAGTCTTCTACAACTTGAAGTGCACTATTACCTATCTCGAAGTGCTGCTCTTTTCCGAGGCGAGGTTGTTGTACATTACTTTCGTTTTCTGCAGATTAATTTTAAGACCCACCTTTCTGCTCTCCTTGTCTAGCTCCGTAATCATGAGTTGCAATTCGTCCCCTGAGTTACTCAGCAATGCAATGTCATCGGCAAAGCGCAGGTTACTAAGGTACTCTTCATTAACTCTTATCCCTAACTGTTCCCATTCTAGGCTTCTGAAAACCTCCTGTAAGCACGCGGTAAATAGCATTGGGGAGATTCTGTCCCCCTGCCTTACACCCTTCTTCATTGGTATTCTGTTGCTTTCTTTATGATGCACTATGGTAGCAGTTGATGCCCTGTAGATTTCTTCTAGGATGTTTATATATAGCTTCATCGACGCCCTAATTCCGCAGTGTCTGCATGACGGCTGACATTTCCACTGAATCAAACGCTTTCTCGTAGTCTATGAAGGCTATGTATAGTGATTGGTTATATTTTGAGCATTTCTCTATTACCTGATTGATAGTATTAATGTGGTCGATTGTTGAGTAGCCTGTTCGAAATGACCCACTATCTAGCCTCAATGTGCCATGCGCACTTGCACAGGGAACAGATTTGTTACGGGTGAGCCAATTTAAGCCAAACCTACTCGTCGCGTAATTCACTTGCTTTGACGTGTGGCGCAGCTCTAGGATTTTGCCACGCTATATTGCATGAGCTGAAGAGACCCCAACCACTACACGAGGTTCTTACAGTTTTCTTTTATGACGAAGTAGTTTCAGGTACTGGCTTCGCTCTGTGGTAAAACACGCAGAAAGGCATGGATGTATTTTCCCTCAGACCGAAGGTGCTCTATTATTTCGCTCACGGACAACGCCGATTTTCGCTCACTAACCAAGAACGACGCCACTGCCAAAAGCTCTTTATTGTCATCGCGTTAAAAAGATGCCTCTGAATAATCGATGAACGGACTTTAGACAAGAGGGAACATTCTCTGCATCAGTGATATGATATAGCTTCCTTGGGGTTGTCAGCCTTGAGAACAAATCTTCATATTTTTACAGAGGCAGCCTCAGCGTAGGTAGCAACTGCGTCTTACATTTGCACTCTTACCTGAGCCCATTACTCTGACACAATCTCTACTCTGACAAGGCCCGCCGCACAGGCACATTGACATACCGCTCGTATACAGACAGCAACTCAGACAGTCAGACAGGCGAAATGTGCGATTTTGGTCAGTTGGTCAATTGTAGGATTGGACTGTACGATGCGGCATTACCCTCTCTTCCCGACTACCCTGACACTTGGGGTGTTCTTATCATGTTTCATTGCTGAGTCCCATAGTCTTGCATAGCGTCAGTAACATTGAAAGATTTATAGTAAAGAGTAAAACTAGGCGCTATAGGAACTAGCGATTGAGGAGACTTACCGTTGGCATCAACCCCGATGGACGTCAAGCCCAAAACAAGGGTAACTGCAAGGAATCGGTGCATCGTGTTCTTCCAAGGAAAGGCCGGATGCAACAGGCCGTTTATGTAATGTGCAGTCAATAGATAAATTGACTGTCAGCTGAAATTTAGGCCGGAAAGGGTGTACCGCTTAGAAAAGGCACTCGTTACAGCACTTGTCTCAACGGCAGCTTCTACAGTGATAGGGACTGGGAGTCTGTCGCTTTTATACGGCCTGTCCTCGAAGGCGTAGTAACATCCGGAGAGTACCACGAAATGTGCTTCCGCGATGTCGCTTCCCTGGCGCTGCATTAGAGGGTGTACGAAGCGTAGACAATAAACAAGAGCCGAGTTGCTTTTCTTTTCCATGCCGGCCATGTTTTGTTTGTTCCGCTTTGAAGGAGCAGCTGCCAATAGAATTGGGTGCTCGTGATGGGTCCTCTAAGTAAGGCACGAGGCCGCCCTGAACGGTGGGAGTGGCTGGAGCACATTTGCTTCGGCATTGTGCACCTGAATGTCTGCATGCATCTTCGCGAAAGTGAACTACAGGAAGCAATGAAACGAAAAGCAGCAGCTCGCTGTGAAGAGAGTGGGCACCAAGGTGAGAATTTGAATAATGATGTTCTGATGACAGTAATGATTGTCCCAGCTGTTTTCACCTCTGTCTGCCGACTGGGTTTTCCACACCAGACAATCAGCTGGTTTTCGCTTCACTTGTTGGGCACTCTTTCAACTCAAAAGGTGGCCTTCGCTTTATGAAATTGCTCGTCTTTACGCCGACTCTTGAGCGACAACCCTGAATCTAACAGTGCTAAGGCAGCGTTGAGCGAACTTCATACACCTCGCCTAACTAAATGACGTTTCCTGCAAGGGAGCGTTGTACTTTTGAGTCTGCCCCATATGTAAACGGATCTGTAACTGCCACCGATACTAAGATTTCTTCGCCGAACGCTTCATTGTATCACTTGCACGTGATGGAAGAATTCTAGACTATAACACTACGTACAAAAAACATGGCAGAGTTATTGATAATAACTCTGCCATGTGCGCTAAATCGCTTACCGAAAAGTATAGTTATGACATTTTAGGGTTGAAGCATAGGGCCCCTGCTTATCAGCGGGTCATGTCATCGTATGGTTCATCATAAACGGTGAGTGTCTCAAAAGTTGGATAAATCCTAGTACTCACCACTGGTTCATCATATGCATATTATGAGTTATAATGTCGTCGTTACTGTAAAAAAACATATGCTTTGGCGTAGCATCAGAGTCAGAATCCACGACGTAGATTCCCTAGGGGCTGAGATTTCTTATTTAGAACCAGAGACAAACTTGCATGTATACACCAAAGTCATCTACCACTTTTGGAAACATATGTGAAACGTGATAGTGCGTTGGTGAACAAATAGCGTGTTTCCACAAAAATTTTATTACCAGTGTCGTTGAAAGCGGGACGGCTTGGTGCTCTCCCATAGTTGAGTATTAAGTACTCGAAATTATTAAACACTCTTTCTAAACGCAAAGCATTTAAGTGCAAAGATTTCACTGGAAGAAACGCTGGCATTCTTTTAATGCCTCGCCACTTCCAGTTTCACTTTAGTACCCTTTCATACATCAGTACCCTTTCATACATAATACCCTTTCACACATTTTCTATCGCCACAATTTTATGTCGTAGGTCGAAGCTATCACGCTTTCATATCTAAAAAGCACATTTCTAAAACCACAAATATGAAATCGGTCGTTCATGCAGTGTTTGCTTTCTTTTTTTCTTTTGTGTTTCGCTGTATCTTTATTTTCTACAATTGCTATACATGTCGCGTTCTTTGCCGATTATATAAAAAGCATAAACTATGTTTTCTTGTGCTTATGTTCGTGTGCACAGATTGTGTAAGTCATCACTGCATGATACTGAACTGCCCCGCCGCGGTGGTCTAGTGGCTAAGGTACTCGGCTGCTGAACCGCAGGTAAAGACGGGATCAAATCCCGGCTTCGGCGGCTGCATTTTCGATGGAGGCGAAAGTGCTGCTGGCCCGTTTGCTCCAATCTGCGTGCACATCAAAGAACCCCAGGTGGTGGAAATTTCTGGAGCCCTCCACCTCGGTGTCTCTCATAATCATATGGTAATTTTGGGACGTTAAACCCCACATATCAATCAAAATCAATCAGTCATGATTCTAATCACAAATGATTTCAGTTCCCATACCGCTCGTTTAGGTGGTAAATAAAAACTGACTGATTGATTGATGCATTATTTGAATGATTGATTGATCGATCTATTGATTTTAATGAACATACGTTGTTTCAAAGTGTCGCTTAGGTCGGCGACGTGAACCACAGAAACTCATCCTCGGCTGGCTCATTTCGTTAAGCTTTTGGGATAGGTATTTGTTTTTTTCCTGGAACCAAGAAATTTCTGCCTGCGGGACGTTTGTTAATGCATGTCCTTCGTTGGCAAATCCTTGTGCGGAGAAAAAAAGCACTTTATTTCCATCGTTTTCTTCATAATTTTATTTTGTTCGGCACTTGGAAAGGTTGGTTGAAATGTTGTGGCTCCCTTGCACAGCGCAAAGCAGTTTTTCAACTGTCAATATTTTCGCACAGGTCAGACTACTCCTTTGGCGTGCTCTAGGATACAGGCCTGAAAAACAAAAAAGGATGTTTTATCTTTTATTTTAATTATTTATCAAATTTTGGGGACACGTAGTCGAAGCAGGGAGGACAATAAAATGGTACAACAGTGAAACTGTTGAAAAAAAAAACTAGCGAAATAAGAACAATATTACAGAAACAGAGTGAATATGTTTGGTGAAAACCTATACAAACAAACTAATAACAATCAGAACTACGGTGTTGATTCGATTACACTATTGCATTCGGTTATTGTACAAGGGAAAAAAGAATTGTTTTAATGTATTTGTTCTCGTGAAGTAGGGTTTGCATTAAATGGAAGCGTACGATTGTAATGCCTTGTAGTTTTCGGTATCCACCCATGCAGTAATTAGGAGAAATGGAAGGGTGGGGCCGCTTCAGCCCCCTCCAAAAATTTTGAGCATGACATGTGTGTGTACGCGCGCACACATGCTAACGCATGCATAAACATACTTAAATTGTGGTTGAATGCCTCTTCCAGATCTCTATTTCAACTCATGCAAAAAAAAAAAAATCATTCCTGCCTTGCACTCCTGATACCCATACAGAAACGCGAAGAAATTGTTTCAAACTGGGCTCATCTTCAAACTTTCAACACCCTCTAAAACATCCCACAAACTTCTAGAAGGTTCGTATTATGTTTTACAAACGTCCTGCAAGCATTATCAAGATACTATTTTTCATAGGAATTTCAGTAAGCGTTCTCTCATACAACCTAATGAAACGTACAGTCTTTGGAGGATGGGGGGGCGGCACACTTAGTAAAAACTCTTGTGTTTCTCTCGAATAGCAACACACACATTCACTCCATCAGGGTATACGGGAGCACATAAACATTGTACGTGACCTTCAAAACTCGCGCAGTGACTGCACGCGCGTTCAACTCACCGAAGCATCGTCGAACATCTTCATTTCCTCAGGCGTCATTCCACTGGATTGCTGCAATGCCATCGCGATAAGATATGGTGAGGGCTATATTTCTTGCACTTAAACTTTTAATGTCAACGCACTGTCCAGTTCAAACGAGAAGCAACTTTCTATTAAGTAGCAGGAGCAATCAAAATTCGCAAGACGGGCTTTCTCTAAGTGCGCGTATACTGGTCTATTGAGCTATACGCTTCCGGGTCACTCTGTTTTCCATGAACGCTTAGATACAAATATAACTATATGATAGCCAGTTGTTTTACGAGAAAGTGCAGGTGTCAAATGCTCATATTTTCTTGTTTTTTTTAATTTGAGCGGTAATACACTTTTTTCTCGATTGCTGTTTTTTATTCTTACGACTTGGATTTTTATTGCATTGTTTTAACAGAGAAGTACTGCGTTCGTTCATCAACAGGGCGAGGTCAAGTCATCGTGTGGTCGTGCGTCTTTGCAGCGATCAGCAGAAGGAACATAGCTGCGCATGTGTCCTAATGCAAGCTTTTTGTCGAGTTACGCCTTGTGAAGTGCTAAAATTAAAGACAGGCCTAACTTTATTCTAACTAAATTCAACTTTGTTTTGATCGCAGTAACTGCACTTTTTGTCCGCAAAGCCAGCTTGTAATTTCCAGGGGGCTATCGGGTCATTCACATGGTCAACACCACGTTTTCTTATTCGAAAACAATGTAATAAACAAAGGATCATTTCTTGCTGCTCTTCACCGGAGAACAGCGCCACACTGGTCGTACTGCAAATCAGAAATTTACTAACTCTTTTGTCAAACACGTCGAGACAACTGTATGAGCTGAAACAAACTCACCTTGAAGTTGTTCGCCTTTTCTACTAAGCAGTCTCTTATCTGAAATAGTAAAGTAGTTAAAATTACCGATTTCATTTCCTACATGCTTTGGCAAAGAAGGAAAACTTTTGATGGAGTAAAGAATATAAAAATTTATTCAAAATAAAATAGGATAAGTAAGGCAAGTTGACAAAAGAAAAATCAAGCATGTGCGCTACAAAATCTGCCTCAAGACTAGTTCGCGTTTTAGTATTGTGTGAACGTATGGCGTCAGTCCTTATGGAAATACTGTACAAAAATTAAAATTAGACCAATTACGCACTGGAAAATCAAGAACTTCAAAGTGCTCTCTGAAGGTAAATACTCCGGAGGGAATGCTGCGGCATCTCTAGCTTGCAGCTTTTTTGAGGTTGAAGCACCAATTGTTTCCCTGCTGTTCACCATTGCGAAAAACTAGTTGCGGTGCTGATCCCTTCTTACTAAAATATAACCATCAATTAGCATTTACCTATTGATGTATTACAGCTTCGAGTCATTAGCATCAGGAATTTCTTATGTAGTAGGAGTATTTCATTTGCTTTTTGTTTGATATCCTGCGCATAGACTGACGATTTAGAGAAGAAGCATATCCAAAGTGTTAGTGAATACACACGCACTACAGTGACTTAACAGGCTGATATATCGTGCTTCTAAGTTTGAGGCCACGGGTTTGATTTACCACCATGTTTATTGTATTACAATATGCGGAATATGATCTAGCACACGCGAACACTGATTTAGAAGTGCGTCAAAGAAAGTCAGTGTGGTCAGAATTAATTTATCACCACCGCCTGTACGGCGCGCCTAATAATCGTGGTTTTGGCTCACGAAAACAACTGCGAATTTCAATATACTTCTCAGCAACTGATTCAATGACGATGCCGCGGGGCGTAATCGTAAACTGTAGTGTTACACGCAACCCACAAAGTGGTGAACCAGCGTTTCAGTTATGGTGGGACCAACGTGCATCTACGCAAGTAAAACGCTTGTACAATGAAGTGTACGTCCATCAGTCTAAAAAGAAATGCAAAATGCTGGCCTTCTACTCACCTTATTGGCTCTCTCCTGGGGGTCCTTTAGGGTGATAAATTGGCTTCCGCACTCCATGATTGTCGGAATGGCTCCCTTAGCCATCTGTGCATAGTTGAAGTCATGTGTCAATGCCACTCACCCAGTATTCAGCAAACGACGTAGCAGTGCAGAAGTCGTCAAATCACACGTAGATAGATAGATAGATAGATAGATAGATAGATAGATAGATAGATAGATAGATAGATAGATAGATAGATAGATAGATAGATAGATAGATAGATAGATAGATAGATAGATAGATAGATAGATAGATAGATAGATAGATAGATAGATAGATAGATAGATAGATAGATAGATAGATAGATAGATAGATAGATAGATAGATAGATAGATTTGACTACGAGCCAGAAAATCCCAAATGCAGTATACTATCGCCTACTCCCTATGCAAAAAAAAAAAACATTTCTGCAAGTGCTATTTCATGCTTGCAACCCCTGGGTTTACAAATGTTTCAATATTGGCAGCCAGTGGTGCTGCAGTCGACAAGACAAAGCAAAGAATTACAGCGATATTAAGCGAGACAAGCTTTTACACGAGATGACGATATTAGGCAAGAAACGCTGTTATGATTCCCATTGCACCTTCTTTATGATTTCCGGGTTGATGCCCTTGGCGACGGTGAGGCATTCGCTCGCACTGTCAATCTTGCTCAGGTACTCCTGCGCCTTGTCCTTGTCAGTCACAAAATCTCTCACCAAGGACTTCAGTTGCTCGATGACACCATCCACATCAGCTGCAGCGTAAGAAACACGAATTTACAATCTGTTACTTTTCTAAAAAATGATAGCGTTCCATAAGTATTTAGAAATGAGCAGAGAAAAAAAATTGATGCAGCTCCATTACAGTGAAACTTGAGTACTCAAGTGCGTAGCAAGGTCTCGCAGCCATTCTCGTTCGTAGTGTTCCCGCTGCTCCGTATACCAAACGTTTTGCAGTAAGTACCTTTTAAACCACTCATCCTGGCTTCTGCGACGTTGTGGTGCCCATGATGGAAGGGAAAAGAAAGGAGGGAACATTACGTCACATGAGTGAAGTCATAGGGAAGCCCACTGTGTCGGCCCAACAGGTCACCAGAACGTCAGAGTGTGTGGTAGCTTTCAGTATATACTCTCGATGGTGTTCCGTTTTTGTACCTCCTGCGTGAGGCGGCCGGTCTGCGCCGAACAAGCTCGTTTCAAATAAAGGGCTACCGGGCGCCAGACTCTGAATTCTCGGCAAGTCTCGTTGCTTGCGTGATATTGATGCGAAAGGTCACGTGAAGGCTGACACTGCTGACTTCAAAGCAGGTTGGCTTGCATATATAGGCTGGTGGCGTGGCGTCATGCTTCCCCCTTTCTTTCTGTTCCTCCATAGTGGCGCCCTCTTTTGCTCAACGAAAGAGTCTACCACATGTTTCCGAAGCATCTTTAGATATTTGAAGTTCATTTTAGGGGTTGCTTGTTGGTTAATACTGTTGAATGTATCATTTTATACCTTATTCGTTTACCTTAAGCCGGTTTGGAGCATTGCTAGCCACGCCTTAGATCTGTATTGAGCGATTGATTGAACGTGACCACGCTACATTTGTGGATGAGATCACATGATGGGGCCCTGAAGTGCTATGCCTTAAAAAAGGCGGCGAAGCCATAGACTGTCACCATCCCGGAAAAGAATGTAGCCTAGAAAACCACGGTACGCACGCTCTTCGCCTCAGCACGAAAAGTTTTACATCTTTGTACAATATGTATATCTCTGTAAAAAAGTGTAAAGGCTAGTTCGCGTTAGAAGCGCAATAACTTTCTCTCTGCAACCGTAAATGTCATTTATTCTAAAAAATGCTGCGTTTGTTTCTAAACTTTTTTGTTTGCAACAGCAGTTAAGATGTCTGATCAAATTGACAAATCAATTGGGGTCGTAATTGTACTGTGATCAGTTATTGAGAACTGATTTCGGTAACATGTTGAAGCAGCTTTACCAACCTCGATCAAAACGAGCCATACAATGTTGTTATAGCCGCACGAATATGTTAACTGCGACATGAGGTGCGCATAAGTTGACTGAGGAATGCTGTTTACTGCAATAGGGTTGAAATCGCGCACTGTAATTTTGGACGTGCTTGAAAAAGAAGGATCCCGCAAGGCGCACGAAAAAATGACAAACAAAAGCGTTCGTGGTTTTCTGCGCTTATCACTGGGCCCTTCTTATTCAAGCCCATCCAAAAATACGTAGTTGGCTGCATGAACTAGCAACTTAAAGGCATACACGAATTTTCGATGGAGGCGGAAATTCTTGAGGTCCATGTGCTTAGATATAGGTGCACGTTAAAGAACCTCAGGTGGTCGAAATTCACGAAGCCCTCCTCCAAGACACCTCTCATAATAATATGGTGGTTTTGGATGTTGATACCCAGGAATTATTATTAACCTACTGTCTTTACTCTTACCCTAATATACGTATAAAAGGAACAGCGATGTGCTCACCATTGGCGTTTACTGCGGCGCAGGAGAAGCAGAAGATAGCGAAGATCACCACAATTTGGTACTTCATGTTTCAAGGAGAACGTTTATCCGCAACACAACGCGGCGCCCCACTGGCGAACGTTGATCGCTACGCAGTGGTACTGAAGGCAGGCAGCCAAAGCACAGTGTGTGGCTTGTGTACCTTACCAGCTGGTTTTATACTACACAGCCGGAAAGTCGCTTAACCACTACACAGAAAGCCACTACATTACACAGAAAGCCACTACATTACACAGAAAGCAACTAAACGGAAGAGACGTAAAAAAAAGACATACAGAAACTGTTGGAAAGACTTCGTTGAAAGATTTGTTGTCGACACCATAAAGATTGTTGGGTCACTAAAGCATAGCGGTGAAAGTTGCTCTATCTTTTTTTTCTTTGCGTCTTTTTGTACTTACTTCTGCTACGTGGTTGCACTACTGTTACATAGGCTGCGAGAATGACGACAAAATTAATTGTCCTATGGTCATTGCAAGGCCATTGGCAACAACTACGCCTGCCTGTAGTCGGGACCGAGGCTGACTCATGGCAAGCACACCATTTCTTGGAGAGGACGTGCAATCAGAAAGCTTAAATCTGTCACTGCATGTGGTTAGAAATTAGCGGGGTAGTATAGGTCCTCATTTGAATACTGCCTTCGAGTTCAAATAATTCGTTGTCTTGTGTGGGAGCAGCCCAGACGTAATCACCTTGTGCAATAAGTAAGAGCGAGCAGCACTTCACCACGCATGGCTGAGCTCACGCGGAAAACAGCTTGCGAGGTGTGCTTCCGTGTGTGCTCTTGTGCTCGGCGGGGACAAAGCTGTAATGGCGCTGTAACATTCTCAGACTTTCGGGTACTTTGTATTCATTTCTTGCCTAAAGTGATTGAACGATAGCTCATTCTATGTTTATCATGTCCTTATATACATGTCCGAAGTGATTTCGCGTTATCTAATAAAGGTGTTAAAAAGGGATGTCATTCTTGGTGATGTCGCCGAATCATGGATGAAGATCGGCCAAACGCAACTTAGCATACAATCCTTTGAAGATCTTCATCACTGCCCATTTCGTAGTTTGATCGTACTGACGTCACTGGCACATTTAAAATGGCTTTGAATGGCCACGACTAGCTTCAACAGTATGACTTTGAAAAAAAAATTGTGATAAAGTATTTTTTTGCTTTGGAGCACTTTACAGTGCTCAAGCGCCGCGTTTACAAGGTCAGCCTATCAAAAATGGGCAGGTAGAAAACGCGTTCTTACAAGTTACTATTAGCTTTGAGCTGCAGCTCAGAGCAATCACGAAGGATTGTTCTTTTGTGCCCTGATGTTGGTTTATGTGGTTCTTCGAAATCTCTAGAAAGCAGTGGGGTGTTCAACTGCAATAAGGCTTTCTCTAGTTGCGATTCCAAATCAAAGGCATTCACTGTTAAAATTGTCGCAGAGCAAAAAAATCTAGTTTTGAATTTTAATTGACTGGTGCAAATATTCGAACAAGGATAGAAAACGTCCTGAATCCTTCGTTCCTGTCTGAACATTTGCGCCACTCAATTAAAATTCAGCCGAGTGCCAATTAGCCCGGCAAGAAACGCTTCTAAAATAAATGGCGCGTGGCCCGAGAAAACACGTTGTTATCGTTTCTCGGAATGAAGGGGCTTGTCCTTCTTGACAGGGCCTGAAGTTTGCATTTCGTGTACAAAGACTCTCTGAAAAAAAAATTAGGCTGCACCGATGATGTGTATAACTGACGTGTGAAAAACACATTAAGCGACAACTTGTCGAAATGATTTTTCGGGTGAAGAGACACTTTTGAAGCGACGATGACCATCATTCGCCGAATTCACTTCTTGCCGCCAGTCGGTACATCTAGTCAGCCAGTCACTCCGTAGTTTTTTTTTTCTTTCACGTGTCAGCCGACCTTGCAAAGAATTTGAAAGTAAAGGCATTTAGGGGGCGAAATGAACCAAACGCGTACTACTCGCACAAGCCTGTAGGTACTCAGGCAATTTTTATTTCTCCCCATACTAACTACCTAATAATTCTGAATTACCTTTTTTTTAATTATGAGCTGGAAACCCAAAATATGAACAATGAGATGTTGAGCACTTTCAGAAACCACCGAACAAATTGTTTCCTGTATGATATGTCTCGCGCTGTTATTTTTTCCGCGTTGTAAAAAAAGCCGCGAAATTGAAAAAAAAAAGCCGTGTGACGGAATGCGAGGGCACTGCGATAGTGCTGCTATAGGCCTTCCTTACAACATGGAAAAAATAACAGCGCTAGACGTATCGTACAGGCAACAATTCAGTCGGTGATATCTGAAAGTGCTCTATATATCAGTGTTCATATTTTGGGTTTCCAGCCCATAATTAAAAAATAGGTTATTATATTATTATTTAATAAGTATGGGGGAAATGAAAAAAAAAGCCCGAGTACCTACAGGCTAGTGCGAATAAAATGCGCTTAGTTTCAATTCGCTTCCTAAGTGCCTTTCGCTTTCAAAATCTTGGCACAACATATGTGTGACACCCTGTATATCTCTCTCTCTCTCTCTTTATATATATATATATATATATATATATATATATATATATATATATATATATATATATATATATATATCTTTTTAATTTCGTAATCCTGTCCCTAGGCACAGTATAATACGCGGTGTCATCATCGATACGCATAGAAAATCTCTTCATGTAGGAAGTGTAAAAGTTAGCAGTGCAACGGTGGCGGAACGAAGCGATCAAGATCGCATGGTTGGCCCAGCTTTGGTCGGTGCTCTCTCCTCCTCTCCCCGCCTCCACGGTGTCTTGTGATTACAATGCTCGACTGATGGCTCAAACTTCGCGTGTCGATGAGACTGAAACGGCCCGTGTGCTCACATTCAGGTGCACTTCAAAGAACCCCAGGTAGTCCACATTTCTTGAGCTCTAGACTAAGTCGTTCCCCGTAATCATATCGTGGTACATGGACGTACAATTCAAACAGCACAATAGTTGCACCTTCTCCTCCTCTACTCTACTCCTACAGGGAGGAGTGAGAACAGCGTAAACATCGACGCTGTTGAAGAACGCCGCTATCGCCCTGAAGAAGTCAAGTCCACTTCTAGAAACGTCAGCCTCAAGCGTCATTTCCTGTTCAACCATTTCTCATGACTGCACCCTTGGCATGACTTGCAACCATACAGACACCTGTTTTATGATGGCACGAGTATATGTTTTTAAGGAGCATCAAGAAAGTGCGTTCATGGTAAGCTGAACTTAAGGGTTGGCTCGAATTCTACGAGATCTCAATGGAAATACATAAAACATTATATAAAAAAGTTGGCATTAGTTATATTTTAGAGTTGTATAGTATACTTATGAAGTGCGAGCATAAGTTTACTTAAAGATAACGGGGTGATTCAGTGCGAAATAATCCAGCGTTTTCTTGACCACCAAGAATATGGCTGAAAAAATTTGCACGTGTTTCTCGATGTTCGAAACTCGTTCTGGTCGTTTATTTCACTTGCCAAAAAATTCCTCCCTATTTATCAGAGTCTGTAGTTTGGCCCCGACTGAGCTATAGGCCATCAAACGACAATTGTTTTAAACACGTTTTTGGAATCTGTTCAATGAAGTGGTATTTGCGGCAAGTTAATAAAGTGATCTAACTGTAAAAATAATGACAAAGTTATGTATATCAATTCTTCGAGGGTTTTTTGCACGAGCAGTATTCCATAGAATATTCCATAGAGTTGCCGAGTTTGAGATTTTGTTACGGAAGCAATGCAAACTGAAAGGACACAAATGTAATATGTGCTGGTGGCCTGTTCAACATGGTGCACAGTAAGAATAATTTAGGCACTGAATACCCCGGAAAAAAATTAGGACTTTTCCTTTTTTGGTAAAAGCTATGTGTTCAGTGTCAAAATACTTGTCTTGATGATCAGAAAAAATATGCTTAATATCTCTTTTGAAAGCCCTATGTATTAGCTAAATATAGCTGAAGGTACTAGAGGGTGTTATATTTTAAACTTGAGAAATAACATTTTTAAAATTATGTGTGTCCGCCAGTTTTTGGCCTGCGTAACTCAAGCGGCATGACGCACTCGCAAGAACAGTCTTCAGCAGAAGCCGACTGACCTGCGTTATAGACTGCAACTTGGGGCTCTCTGTGTTTAGAAAAAGTTTATTCTCTCATGGGACGCAACAAACCTAAGGGACAAAAGTCTGTATAACAGGCACAATAACAAACAAAAGACAAAGCACAACAGACATTACACATTTAAACAAAAGTGTCCAAGTCCGTAGGATGTCCATAGTCTATTGTACTAATAACTATACATACACTACATAAATGCACTAATCACAATATGGACAATGTACATGATGATATATGCACAGAATTTACAAGACTTGGTGAAGATGTTAGAAAATATGTACAACAGGTATCAATATTCATAAAGGTTACATAACTTACAGCGTTAGAATGAAGTGCATATATAGAAGAGCTCACACCCATATGGGACATACACAAACACATAAAAATAGTAAACACATACTGATTACATGCACCAATCAGACATTGACTGGTGACCTGGCTATAAGAACCAGGCCAGGTGGAAGACTAATCGAACGCGTCTGTCCACTACGGAAAGAAAGCAGCACGACCATTGTCGCAGAAATTCTTCCTCCCCAAGGAAGAACAATTCCTCCGACAGAAACGATAAGAGTTCAGAGTAGAGGCGTTCCAGAATCGGAAAAAGAGCACGACGACGATGACCTGCCGCAACAGCTTCGCACCTATTACGCCATAAACAAAAAGCTCTCGCAGCTATTAGGAGGCGTGCAAAGCGACTACTCGAGCAGTGACCAGATGTTACAAAACGATTGACACCTAGGCCACGAAAACTAGTGTTAACTGACTTCCAAAACACCTTTGCAATGACACATTGCTGCAGCATATGCTTGTTATACTCCTGTAACGGGCAGTTAGGACAAGTGGAAGATGAGACCATGCCCCACCTCTCCAGTCTGTCTCGTGTTGGGAGTACTCTCCATCCAAGACGCCACATAAAATCACGGAGGTGACCAGGCAAAAAAGATGCCGTTATCGCGCTCCACGAGACATGTCTCGATCGTGCTAGACGGGCTGGAGGAACCAGAGGAAGCAGAAGAGCCGCCGTTGTATCTACAATGCGGCTTTCAAGAATGTCCACATCGGGACAAACCTGCTGCGCGTGTCGATATAATGCTACTGCCTTTGAATAAAATGCAGGCACGTTAAATGTTTGCGGTGCAGAATTAAGCCGCGCATCTGGTAGTAAATAGCGTATCTTGGTGCCTAAAAAATAGCACACAAGATCACGAGCGGTGCACTGATCACTGTGCAACAACCGAAGTAAGAATCGTAGGGCAAGCAGCCGGCAGCGAACAGAGACGGATGGGAATGCGAATCCACCGCAGTTTCTCGGTTGCCCAAGAGCTGCTCGGCAAACCAGCTCTGTTCCACCTGACGAGAAAAAGGAGCCAATGAGGGATTGCAACGACCTCGTAATTTGTAATGGGGGCTGTAAGACATGAGATATGTACCATGCACGGCCGCAAAAGACCGTCTGTGCTAAATACCTTCTTTCGAGCATTGGTAAATCATACTCTTGTGCTTCCCGGACGTGTCGTTTTACATCTTCGACTACTGAATTCCACAAGGAGGCTGATATGCCGTAGCAAGTATAATCAAGCCCCACAATGCGAAAAGAGTCACTTTTTTGAAGACCGAAAAAGGAACTTAGACATGCGTCTGGGGAACCAATAAATAAATATTGACATTTGGAAAAATTTAACGCAGCACCTGAAATCGTGCCATACGTTGTAAAAAGTTGTAGGCTACGGGATAAACTGTCCTCATTCTTCAAATACAACGTGATATCATCAGCAAATGCTGTCACTGTCACGGTACCACTACCTGGAAGAGGAAGGCCTCTAACGTAAGGATCAGCGATTAGCGATTGAAGGAATGGGGCTCTCTACAAAGCAATCAAAAGGGGTATAGTGTTATTATCTACGTTTCATCGTTAACTGAAAGAGACTACAAAGAATGGGGTCAGTATGGTTATTTCGTGAAGATCCATCCAGCTTTATGGATTTAAAGTAACAAATTCTTCTTTCCTGTGGAGTTTTGCAATTGGAGAAGGTGCGTTTTATAAGCCAAATAAAGATATTTAATCATGATCAGTACACAAGTCTTATAGCGCGCTAGTAGCATTGATGGAGTACACTGATAAATGCTATCCTAGTACAAATGATTAACCTTTTTCTGGTTTTCAGAAGAGCACCCTGCTTCCTGAGACCCAAAGCCTGTCATACGACTGCTCAAGTGAGTAAAAACTTTATATTAAGAACTGGTAGCCGATTCTGCTGCCTCGTTTATGTAGCGCGCGTGGTTTACTATTTTACATAGTACAATTTTTATCGGCTTGATGGCTCCTCTGGGAATAGTGAAATCACCAGCGGCGTAGTCAGGAAAGGAGAAGAAGCTGCTAACCCCCCTTTTCCGCATTTCAGGTATTTTTCAGTTGTACATATGTGAATACATACGCTCACACATAAAAAACACATACAAACGTACTTATGGTATGACTGAAGTCACCCGCTTGTACGTCCCCTCCTCCCCCCACCCGAACAATATTTCTTTTGCTACGCTACTGGTCTCCACAATCGGGCCACATTTATTGTAGTAACTGTGACAGTTTCGTGGTGTGTGTGTGTGTGTGTGTGTGTGTGTGTGTGTGTGTGTGTGTGTGTGTGTGTGTGTGTGTGTGTGTGAGATGGAGAAAGGGAGCAGACCTAGCTCTTAGCAGTTTACGGCGAAAGCTGAAAGCACTTGTAATAATAATGCAGTAACACATCACCAATATTGGCAGCAACAATGGCTTCAACTTCACGTCTCGCCACTGTGCCAGAGACTTATAACACTAAGACAAACTTCAAGGTGCCAAGTATTGTTTCGGAAAATGACGTCATCGCTTTGCTACTGACCTCGGGATGTCTGATAGCACAGCTACAATTCATTAGTGCAGTGTGATTACAGTGCAGCACGCCATTCCTGGAAGGTTCTTGGTGCTGTCATTCTACAATACTCCGTGAGAAGAAGTCGTTCCGCAAAATTGCTCTTGCAACACCAACTGAAAGTCCTTTCTTGCACACGTCGGCACGTGTTTCGTGCACTTCTCATCGGGAATGGCCCACAATATGTAATTGTCTCCCAAATGAAAACCTCTTTTCCTGCAGGGAAGCTCCTAGTAGAGCTTAAAGCACGCTTCACTGGTTCCGCGTATTTTTTCCGTCCACTTATTTCAGCGCAAAGCCCAAGTGAAAAGAAAAAAACTTTCCGAGCAGGTAGCGCAAGTTCTAGTACATATCGGTTTTTTCAAGAGCCATCCAAATGGGCTATTTATCATGCAATCAACCGTGCTGTATGCAACTTCTGCTTGACACTGCGAACGCGTATGAGCTCCTTTTCTGAGTCCGCGAAGCAGGCTGAAGCAGTGACACGCTGCCCCATTTGCGCTCCTGGATGCCGTGTGCGCAGGGTATACTCATTTCGGAACATCCTAAATTTACAGCGGCTTTCGTTACAACCGCGTTCATAAGCCAACAGGTTCGAAAGCTTATTTCCGGAGCCCTCCACTACGGCGCGTCTCTCATAATCTTATGGTGGTTTCGGGACGTTAAACCCCACATGTCAATCAATAAGGTTCCAAAGCTTGCTCCGTATTTCACAGAAACATGTTCGTGGAGTAAGTACAGGGAGTGGTATATATAACACCCTTTTCTTGCGGAAAAGTCTACATAGGGCTGTCAGGAAGATGCGTGGACGACCGCCTTAGAGAGCGCCACGCATCTGTTAAGGCATCGGGCAACACTAATCTTCCAGATCACTGCAGAAACTGCGCACGTTGAACTGTGTTTAAAGAGACAGACATATTATTTCCGCATAGGGATCAGCTAACACGAGAGATAGTGGAATCTTACCACATACGAAAGAGGGGACATGACCGTGTTAGCCAAGATACAAATGTGCTGCATAATAAAAAAATACGCGTACCTCGACACGTGGTGCTTGCAAAATAAAATAAATGAAAAATAACATTGACAATTTTTTGTAATCCCGATACGAGTGGTTTCTGTTACACCATATTCTGTTTCACATGCGCGAAAAACCATGTAACCACTTTAAATTTTTTTCTGAATAATAAAACTTCAGTTGTGAGAGCAAGCGCTGTCCTTGTCAGCCTGATCTGTCCGTCTTTTTTTTTTTTTTTTGGTGCGCCTCAACAAAATTTTCAATTATTAACGTAATCCAACTGGCTCAGCTTGTCATGTTGCTGCATTATATGATTGAATTTTTTGTGCCCTACAGTGCTCGGACAGTGTGCCTATAGTCGGTGACAACCTAAGAATAAATATGGATACGCCATTCACCTTTCGAGAGCTAGATACGGCACTTAGCAAATTAAGAAGACGCTGTGCCGTGGGTTCCAATTTGATCAGCAATAAAATGTTGACAAATCTGCAATATGAGCGAAAAAGGGCCCTTTTGGACATATTTAATCATGTCTGGAGCACGGGAGAGATCCCATTTGTTTGGAAGACAGCATGGGTGGTGCGAGTACTAAAGTACGGAAAGGATCCTGCGAGTCTCGCATCATATCGAACGGTATCTCTTACATCATGCGTATCTAAGTTGATCGAAAGATTAATATGTACAAGATTAGCTTGGTACCTTGAACAAAGAAGACGGTGGCCATCGTGTATGACGGGATTTCGCCCACGACCGAGTGCCCACGTTTATTTCACTCAGTGCACTTATCTGCTTTATACTTTTTTTTCTTTTTAGACGGGGATTATCAACAGGGACACGCGCCACCACGAGGAGATGACGTCACTACTTACCCCCTTAAAACTAACCCGCAAAAGATGAAATGACGCCTTTGACAAAGATAGGTCCTCCTATCGAAACGTCGGTGAACCTGTCTGAGGCACTTCCCCTGGTCACCCCAATTATTCCAATTAACGTGATGTGGAGCATTTCATTTAAATCAACCCGACCTTCTTCAAAAGCAATATGTATTGTTTTAAGTCACTGTATACGTCGACATCATGATGCTCTGAAACACCATTTTTGGTGTTTTAGTGAATGACGAGCTGGGCAGTATTGTGGGCGTCGACGACTGAGTGTTGCCAGTGTTGCTACAGGAGCACTTGCTCCACTCGAGCCACGCCAGAACTTGCCAGGTCAACACTCTCCGAAAGCCAGCCAAAATGCACCACTGATTTGCTCTCCCCAAAACAATATCACGACCACTCTCATGGCGACACTTTTACACTTTTCCATTATCAAGGCGTTTCTGCCAGCTAGATCTGCTTTCATGTATGCTGAACACGAACATATCCTTGTGAGGATACGAAAGACGCTTCGTTTCCATGGTTCGTTGCCTTCAAGTTTTATTTTGTTCAGCATTCGGTTAAGTTCACTGAAGCACTCAGGTCTCTTCTACGGCACGCAGCAGTTTTCAAACTATTCTTCTATGAGTTTTTTGACGCAGTTCTGAAAAACAAAAAGAAAGAAGAAATTTGTGTGACAGATCTGTCCGAGAAGTATCTCTTGCACCATTTCGGTATGCACACAACATCATGCAGCGTGTTTTTAGAGGGTGGGGAGGCCTTTCGTTGAATGTATATTTACTCCGTTTCAGCAAGCCTGAAAACGTACTACACAATATCAAAATGTTATTCTTTATCCGAATTTCGCTCAAACGTTCATCATTAAAGCCTTTCGTTGATACATACGTTGGATATACTTTCCGCAAAATGTGACATCAGTTAGTATTTCTGGCAACGTGTTTTGGAACTCTCATATTTATTCCTAGAGTTAGATTTCACTTTTATATTTCCCCTGTGAACAATACGTAGTTTACGACAGACAGCTCTTGGTGTATCATGTGACGTCAAATGTGGCCCTCTAGAGCCATCGACGTGTGAGGAAAATCATCACCATCAGCAGCAGCAGCAACCGCAACATCAACATTGCTTCTAAAATCGTCACCATCATCAGCCACAACACACCTGCTCTGAAAAAAGTGGCGTGTGAAACAAAAAAAGACCTAACCTCCCAATCTCTGATGTTAACTTTGATGACTCGCGCCTCCAAGTCGTCTCTGGCGAATTGATAACTGCCCCCATAAGATTTTTCATTTCGTTTATGTTGTTCAGCTACGACGTAATTGGTGCTGGTAATCTTTTTTTTGTGTGTGTGTAAGGAAATGTTAGGTGGGCGGAGGATCACAACAAGGAAAAATGAAAGTGTGTGTAGAGTTGCTAATTTTTATAAGATTGCACTTGAATATTGTCAGTATGTCGTAAATGTTGACCAATGCAACATTATCTGCAAATAGTGATGGTTACGAAGTTCTCTTGAGCCCACTATTCAAGCAAAACTATCAACAACAACGTTTTTTAATGAACTTTCATATATATATATATATATTAGTGCCATCTCGTGTGTTGGTTTCTGACATATGTTCTTGTAGCGCATTGTGCATAAATTCACTCTTTCCTGCAGCTCCGTGAGGCATTACAGGAGCCCATGCGTGACGTACTTCTCGCTGCAATGCACTGTTCACTATAACGTGTCTCTTCACGGCAACTGAAGTTGTATTAGGACAAGAAGAATCATTAAGTAAGGACAATAGAATACCCCCTTTCAAGTTAAGGAAACGCATTCGTCGTAGTACACGATTTTCGAAACGGCTGACGTTACGAAACAGGCGTACAACTCACCAGGGCATCATCGAACTTCTGCTTTTCCTCATCTGTCATACCACTGGTCTCCTGCAATGTGATTGAGATAAAATGCAGTGAAACATGTATTTCATACACCGAAACATTCAGTGTGATTGCACTGTCTTATAATAAAACAAGAAGCATATTCTCCTTACGCAGCGAGAACATTCAAAAGTCGCAATCTGCCCGTTTTCTCGGTGCATTCACAAGCCTCGTTAACCTTCGTCACGCAGAATCGCAAGCAAAGCCGCAGTACATGCTTTTCCACATGGTGGTCACTACGAAGAGAACTGCAGAGACCACCGGAGAGATAGGTCAGCACATTCTCACAGCCAACCAGCAATCGCCTCATAGCACCTACACGTATAACGGTCTCTGCAGCGACACTTCAGGATAACTCTGGTCCTCACATCACGTAGTATAGAACAGGTCATTCGCAGGCAGCCAACTCTTACCACACTGCAGAGTTTTGCCAGAGAGCCTTAGCCAGATATAGCCTTGCGGATCAGTTAAAGGCGTAGGCGTTCTAAGGAGGGGGGGGGGCGAAGCCAGTGCCAACATTGACATTATAGGGAAGGGATAGAAAGGGGGGCACAAAGCCGGCCCAAAACATTGACTTGATACGGCTGAAAAACAATGCACCCTCCCCCCCCCCCCCCCCTTTGGGGAACCCTGCGGACGCTTATGGTTAAACGGGCCATGACACGATGACGCGATTGGTTGTTTTCAGTGAAATATAGAGTCGCAGGTTAAATTATGAATTTACATATATGAAAAGTGGACTCTAACAGAACATTTCAATCCGAAACAATGCGTACTAATTGCTAGCAGTAAACGCCGTCTACTGCCGGCAACCGCCAATTTGCCGTGGCCTCTCGGATGTCATGGGCAGCGTCGAGCAGAGCCATCGACTCCTAACAAAGTTTATGTCGTTCTAGTCTACGATTTTGAGTGCCAAGCTGGAGAAAGCTGAAACATCTCGGTTTCACGTGCAGCGCAACGCAAAGCAATATCGTTTCTTGTAATGCAGATGCTGTCACGCTCGGTGGATTTCACGGGTCACTGTTGTACCGTCCGCAGTGTTCTTTCTCTCTTCAACGACCACTCGCCAATTGGTGCCTCGTCCACAAACTTCTCTGTCTCCCAACGTTTACTTTATCTATAATAATGCCTCTTTATCTCTTCCCCCTTGAGCTATTGCTGAAGTGTCCCACTTTGCTGAAGAGCGTTGGGGGGCTCACTTTATATAGTTGTTTTTTTTTACACCACTACCCCCTCCGCAATAAAATAAAAAACACGTAAACTGGAGTTGAGTTGTCGACCCGACGTTTGCACAAGCAGACAGGTCTTTCTCAAGACTAGAACAGAACTGCTGTTTTTTTTATTCTACGCCTAGCAAGGTACTTGTTAAGCAAGGCTCGCTACTGCACCAGTCTTGTCCCAGTCTGTGTCTAAACTGTGTTTAGGATGATCTTCAGTTTTTCTGGTTTGACAGTAGCCATTTCATTCTTACGTATAATCTGGATTTCGGGGCAGCCAGGCGTTTATAAACGAGCCTCCTGTTTGTTTGTCATTTCGCCGCTGTAGGGTGCCCGCACTGTCTACACCGACTTGCGTTATAAAGTACATGGCACAATAAAGTCACATCGAGTATTTGTTGAAGCTCTATTAAACAGAGGGCGGAAAATAGCTAACCACTGCGCGAGTTGAAATTTCTGATGTTTGTTCATGAAGCACTTCTCTAAAGCTGGGCTCGTACAACTTACCTTGAAGGTGTCCGCCTTCTCTGACATACACTCGATGATCTGAAAAATTCAGGGGCTTAGAATTAGTGACGCCGCCGTTCATCAGGTACTATCAAACAGCGCAAATTTTAATCGAGATAACCATGTTTTCAATTTACGTGTACTTTAAACGAGTCCAGGTGAGTGAATTATACGGAGGGGTTCCCTAAGGCGTATCTATTTATTTATTTTTTTATTTATCATAAACTGCGAACCATTTAGGGTCCAAGCAGGAAAGGTACAGCAAGTTCAAAGGTAAAATAAAAGTACAACAAAGTTACACCAAAATTGATACTGGCATACACGAAATGTAAGAAAAACATAGCAATCATCATCAAATTATACTCGTTTCCAGAGGGCTGAGTACAGCCACTGCAACACAATCCATAAGCAGAGCACCACACTCTTAGGCACACAACAAATTGTTAAATCAAACAAGTATTGTGAAAGCCAGGAAACACAAGGCGCATTTCATGGTGAAAAGGAAAGAAGAGTAGAGTTTCGGGCCAACAAATTCCACTCAGAGATTTATTTCGGGGAAAAAGAGTGTTTGTATAAATTAGTTCTTGCGAAAATTGGCTTGATGCTACAGCTGTGTTAGTGACGGGAAGGCCTGGAAGAATCCTTTACCATGTAGTTTTCTGGCTTTATTTCGAGTTTAGAAAAATATATTAGACGGAGTAAGTTAAGTCGAGCAGCTCGACGTCTGTCCTCAAGAGGTTCAAGATTTGCCACTGCAACATCGCAGAGGGGGAATCGCGGCGTCTATACCTACTGTAAATAAAACGGGCTGCCAGGCGCTGAATTTTTTCTATCTTTTGTATATTGCTTTTTATGTGAGGGTCCCATACTACGGAGGCGTACTCCAAGGAAGGCCTTACCATTGTTTTGTAAGCTTTAGGCTTTAAGGAACTGGGGGCATTAGCTAATCGATGCTTTAGAAACCCTAGTTTTTTACGTGCGGAATAGCATGTATTTACTATATGGGTTGTCCAGTTGAGGCTTGAGGTAATTGTAACACCCAAATATTTATATTCTTCGACTTGTGTAATCTGTGACCCTTTTATACCATATTTAAAGTGAAACTTGTTGGTTTTGTTGGTGATACACAAGTGAGCTGTTTTTTCTAGATTAATTACCATTTTCCACTCGGAACACCAAGTTTCCAAGTTACCGATGTTTCTGTTTAAAACTTGTTGATCTGCCGTTGAGTTTATGACTTTGAAAAGAATGCAGTCGTCTGCGAACAGTTTAACTGATACGCTGGTATCTATTGCTTGAGCCAAATCATTAATATAAATGTTAAATAAAACAGGACCGAGTACGGATCCCTGCGGTACTCCGGAAAAAACGTCTAACAAACGCGAGCGCGAACCCTCAATCTCTACGTATTGTTTACGGTTTAGTAGGTAAGATGTGACCCAATTTGTGAAGGAACGCCAATTGACTTCAGTTTATTTATTAATTTTTTATGGGGAACTTTGTCGAACGCCTTTGAGAGGTCAAAAAAAATCACGTCAACCTGGCTACCAGCATCTAGAGCCTTCGCAAATTCAATAATTGTAGTTAATAACTGCGTAGTAGTAGAAAGACCTCGTCGGAAACCATGTTGGTGCTCAGTGAGAATATTTTGGGATTGAAGAAAGTTATTGAGGTATTTTGCGATAATATGTTCTAGCAGTTTACAACAATGACAGGTGAGAGAGATGGGCCGATAGTTACAAAAATTGAGACGGTGTCACACACTTCGGGTGAGGCCCCGCCGATCCAACATCGACGTGCGGCAGACTCGCAGGCTTCCACTTTACGCTTCGACCTGCGACGCCTGAAAGGCCTCGAAGTGGCACATTTCGAATTTATTTGCGGGTTGGTCGACCCGTGCGGGGTTGCACGTGTGGTGATGTGTGGGCCTGACCGACGCACTCATAGAGCAGACACGGAGTGCGATTACACATAAACAAGCATTTAATTGGAACACTGGCAAAGGCAGGAGTTAAGAAAAATAACAGAGAGGAGTAACACTGATATGCAAAGGAAAGAACAGCTATATAACAAAATATGCTAAAAAAACACTACAAAAGATACAGACTAAAGACAAATATGTGGAACATTAATAAAATAACAACAAGATGGAAATCAAAGGAGAGAGACACTAGAAATTAATTACTGAATGATCATGGTGGCGCTTTAGAATTTAAACGTGCGACGCAGCGCACACTACAAATATTTAAAAAAAAGGCTGGTTAAAACAAGTTTACGGTTTAACAAAAAAAGTCACAATAAAAAGTTCCATACGGACCAAACCAGCCCTTGGTGCACGTAGGGGAGTTGACGGGTGCCGCTGAAGGTCTCGCCGGCTTGGTAGACGACGAGGGTGCCCGGAATTGCAGCCGTCTCAATACGTTGCGCGGGTCACTCCGTGCTCGCCGCCTACGCGAGACTCGCGACACCGACGACCGCACTTGTTGCTGTCTGTACGTCAACTGCTCTTGCGATGCAGTTCAAACCTCCTCAGTGGCGTACACGTGTTCCCGTCTCATCTGGGAGCAATTTACCTTGTTTAGATCGCCGGTGCCCCTTCCGGCACCGGTGCAGGGAAGACGAGCCGGCGCCACGCTGGGTCGTTATAGTCGCCGGATGTCGTCCCCCAACACAAAAGCGCCCTTCCTTGGTAGGTGGGGCCCGCGGATGCTCCGAAAATTGGAGTCGTTTGTGACATAGCCCCCTTCTTAAGAATATTACTGTGTAATATTCAAGAAAATCACAAACGCACAATGTTCGCGAGCTTTCAGTGTTCCGGTCGTCCACCAATGCGTTTTCTTTTTCGCGCACCATTTCACTGATGTGGACGACATCGCAGAGAACATCTGACACACTACGCTTCACGGTCACCATACGATGAATGTCATAACTCGCGCACAACGTCATGTCCACACACATGAAAAGACAATGACAAAAATACTGCACATTTCTAAGCTAAGGCACGTAAGCATCCTTTGATGCCACATATTAAAAACAATACACGCTTTAAGTGGTATTAAAAAGTCACTTATTGACACGCAGCTTTCGAAAAAGATGAATAAGAAAGAAATCGGCATAATCGCCTGTACTCAGTTGTTTGAACCTGCTGCACACTAAAGCACTTCATTTCGAAATGATAATTACAAGGAAAGTTGTGAAGAACATGCACATAACGCCATGATTATCACACATGCGTACCGTGATAGACTGATTATATGACCAACCAGTCTCTTTTTGAAAAAATCAACTGAATGAAATAAAAATTTCCCTAAAACAGAGCTTCCCTAACTAAACGTGTAGTAAGTTTGAACAACAGAACACGTCAACAAACGCACAGACGACACAAGCAAACCAAAAAAAAAAAAAAACTAAGCGATTGCTTCGAACGTTTATCAAATGTTTCAAAATTGAATGACTGAAATGAACATTGTTTCAAAAAAGTATCCCATTCGCCTTGAAGGTTGGGTTTACGTTTCGATGTACATACACATAAGTTTTATCCGCGCCCGAGGTGGTCGCACTCTTGGGGGAGCCGTTTGAAACAACCCGGGCAGACAAAAGAGCGTATGGCCGCTACACGGACGCCTGTTTCCCGTTAGTCTGCACTCCGGAGGCACGCCTTCATCGACGCCTCGTTCTACGAAAACGGGTCCCCGAGCCACGTCGTGCCGCTTGGCCGAAAGGCGCTGCTTCGGCATGCACCCCGCGCTTCGAGCAGGACAGTGGAGCGAAGGGGGTCGGCTCTTCCGAGCTCCACGAACAAATGCCTGCCTCCCCCCTCTACCTGTCGGGCGGTTTGGGGCATGACTACCCCCTCTACTGGTGAATGCCACAAAACGCAATCGAAGCTTTCGTTGCGTTGATTGCCGTTTGGCAATTCTCGATTTCATGGGTGGATTTACACCCTTCGCTTCTCTCTTGTTCTTGCTTTTGCGGCGTCTTTTTCCTTTTTCACGTTGCTCAGTGCTAACTTTCGAGAGGTCCGCTTGCAACATTTGCAGAGCAGAACTTGTCTCGCTTGTCTCTTCGGCTATAATGCCTATACAGTCGGGATTTTCCGTTAACTTGTGGACACCCTGACTTGCGGGAAGCTTGACTGACGGCTGAGCAATGCAAGCGTCTTCCTCGGGGCTGCGCCGCTCGCACCTGGAAGAACTACTTGCCCCAATATTGCCCAGCTCGCAGTGCGCGTCAGCACCCGACTGTGCCCCGCTCTCTGTACAGGGGTCCTCACCTACCGGGCCGGAGGTACTGCGAACTTCACATTTAGCTGCTATGGCGACGCACAAACAGGGTGGCTGTGCCAAGTCCATTACAGATGGCATTTCTGTATCAACAAGACTTTCCAGGCACAGCGCCTCGTCGCCATCACTGCGGCCTTCAGTGGCCTTTGTGGCCACAACGGGACTTTTAGCAGCTAACTTTTTAGGTTCACTCGCAAACCTGATGTCCGCCTCAACAGTACAAAATTTTTGCCCGGCTCTCGGCGGTTTGACACCTACGGGCTCTTTGCCCCTTTTGTGCCTTGCATCCCAGGTCTCAAACATGCGCCGTTCATTTTCGATTTTTTGGCGCAGTAGCTGAACATGATCCTGGTAAGACTGCTTGTTCAGGCCACGGTAGGTCACGCTACTGGGCGTTCCAGCGGCTAAGCTGGGACCCGGCTGCGTGGCACACAGTCCCAAGCGCTCTTTTTCTCTCTGAATTCTCAGCCTTGAATTTTCTCGCTCCTGTTCCATCAAAAATTCCAGATGTTGCCTGTACCTAATGCGTTCGGCATCGCGCTCCTCTTTAAGTCTATTTCGTTCTTTTTCGACGAAATTATATAACTCCTTGCCTAGAAAGCCAAAGGCTTTGCCCTGTTCAATTAGCTTATCAAACTCCGTGTTGTCCATTGCTATAAACAGTTGACAACCAACAAAGCAATAACAGAACGGCTACATACTGAACGCTCAGAGTTACGTCAGTCTCCCAGACATCACCACGTGGTTGGCCAGTCCTGTCGCCCGGACGCCAGATAATGTCACACACTTCGGGTGAGGCCCCGCCGATCCAACATCGACGTGCGGCAGACTCGCAGGCTTCCACTTTACGCTTCGACCTGCGACGCCTGAAAGGCCTCGAAGTGGCACATTTCGAATTTATTTGCGGGTTGGTCGACCCGTGCGGGGTTGCACGTGTGGTGATGTGTGGGCCTGACCGACGCACTCATAGAGCAGACACGGAGTGCGATTACACATAAACAAGCATTTAATTGGAACACTGGCAAAGGCAGGAGTTAAGAAAAATAACAGAGAGGAGTAACACTGATATGCAAAGGAAAGAACAGCTATATAACAAAATATGCTAAAAAAACACTACAAAAGATACAGACTAAAGACAAATATGTGGAACATTAATAAAATAACAACAAGATGGAAATCAAAGGAGAGAGACACTAGAAATTAATTACTGAATGATCATGGTGGCGCTTTAGAATTTAAACGTGCGACGCAGCGCACACTACAAATATTTAAAAAAAAGGCTGGTTAAAACAAGTTTACGGTTAACAAAAAAAGTCACAATAAAAAGTTCCATACGGACCAAACCAGCCCTTGGTGCACGTAGGGGAGTTGACGGGTGCCGCTGAAGGTCTCGCCGGCTTGGTAGACGACGAGGGTGCCCGGAATTGCGGCCGTCTCAATACGTTGCGCGGGTCACTCCGTGCTCGCCGCCTACGCGAGACTCGCGACACCGACGACCGCACTTGTTGCTGTCTGTACGTCAACTGCTCTTGCGATGCAGTTCAAACCTCCTCAGTGGCGTACACGTGTTCCCGTCTCATCTGGGAGCAATTTACCTTGTTTAGATCGCCGGTGCCCCTTCCGGCACCGGTGCAGGGAAGACGAGCCGGCGCCACGCTGGGTCGTTATAGTCGCCGGATGTCGTCCCCCAACACAAAAGCGCCCTTCCTTGGTAGGTGGGGCCCGCGGATGCTCCGAAAATTGGAGTCGTTTGTGACAGACGGTTACCCTTCTTATACACAGGAGTCACACGTGCAATACACCAATCATCAGGTATCGCACCAGACGAAACGGATTTCTGCAAAATGACTACAAGGCACCTGGCTAACAGTGTAGCATAGCGTCTGAGAAATGCGGAAGGGATATCATCAGGACCTGTCGATTTTTTCGGATCCAATCGCAAAAGCAATTCTGTGACACCTTCCAAAGAAATCTGAATGACACCACAATCACCATTTTCACTAACAGCCCCGTTTAAAGGATCTGACGTTGAAAACACACTGTGGAAATACTCGTTAAACACCTCCGCCACTTCTCTTGGATCAGTAAGTACCCGATCACCCTTGGCGATTTGATCAAGCCTCGTGCCACCCTTATTCGATAAAAATTGCCAAAATTTAGAGGCACTTTCGAGGGACAATTTAGAGGGACAATCTCAGTCATATGGTGGATCTGGGACGTTAATACCCGACAGTCGTTCTATATTTATTGAGCTGACGAAGTACTTTGTTGCTTTATAATAAGCTATCGAGTATAAAGTGCTTACAACCTGAATAAAACTAAATCTATCGGGAAGAAGATTTATATGACCTTCGTTCTTCCTTATTTTTCAATTTACATGTGTCATCGCGTGAGTAATTATTGAAAAATTTGAGAGCATAACCATCTAACCTCCCTTGACTATTCATCTATCCCCCTTTATGAGTTTGTGTCAATCTTACCAGGATCGTCAATATCATCAGGTCTTGTTGGCCGAGGCCAACACAAAATTAACATTTTTTTTTTTTTATTCAGTGAGTACCCCGCTTTGCTCAAAAGGCGTTACAGCAGGGGGGTTACAGACTGGAATAAAACAATTCTTCGTTTATACAGCACACTTGCTCGTCTTGCAGCTGGTTCCAATCTCTAATGGTCATCACAAAAAAGGAATTATAAAACATGGTCGTTCTTGCTCGATACTCTTTCACTTTGCGTCGGTGGTCATGTCGACTAGATATGTAGCTGGGTTCACTGAAATAGTTATGACGGTCAATCCCAGTCCGCCCATGAAAAACAGAAAAGAAAAACTTCAAACGCAGTTTTTTCCTGCGTAAAGAAAGCAATTCCCAACCCAATTCAGCTTTCATAGCACTACAGCTGTCTCTCCGCTCGTACCGCCCTAAAACAAACCGCGCAGCTCTGTTTTGTATTTTTTCAAGCTTATCAATCAAGTTCGCCTGCATCGGGTCCCACACAGGACATGCGTATTCCAAAATCGGTCTAATACATGTGAGATAGGCCGTATTTTTTAATGTTCGGGGTGCCAATCTTAGGTTCCTCTGAATGAAATTTAGAGCCCTTGCCGCTTTGCTAACAACGTGATCAACATTGGCATTCCATGAGCAATCATGCGACAAAACAACGCCAAGATATTTGCATGTTGGTTCGGTAATAACAATATATAGGTATAAACATAATATGAGTTCTATCCAAGAGCACAAAATCAGGCTAGTTTGTACCTACAATCATTCTAGAATGTGCGCCACGGGATCTTTATAAAGCTTTTTCCGTGTTGATGCATTGCTTCTTCGCTACTATTCACCAATTTCAAAGAAAAGTACATATACTGCTGATCACATGTTACTAACACATAACCGTCAATAAGCAATCCTTGGTGTTTCCGGATGCCGATAAAACCAAGTGAGCTTCTTGAGATACTTTGAAATCTCCTTCTCCTACTTATAGATGGATCAGTCAAGAACCACTGCCAAAGTGTCCAGAACGCTTCGCAAAATATATTTACTCGCCGCAATGGCTTACCAGGACAACGTGTTGGGCGGCTAAGCTTGAAGTCGCGCGTTTGACTTCAACGGTCGCAAAGTAAACACCTTCGAGCTTCGATTTCACAAAACGTTGAAAAACATCGCGTGGCCAAAAGTAATCAGCCCTAACTCACGGCATGTTTCGTAAAAGATTACCTTCGTTCTGGCTCATAAAACATCAAAAGATATTGTGATACTCCTGGGCAACTGACTTCACGACTACGCTGAGGAGTTGATGAGGGCAGGATAGTATTTCTGGTAAGCCAGCATTGCAGGTGTGGTTTGATAAGCTTCCTTTTTTGCAAAGCAATAGTTTTTATAATATAACTGTGAGTGCTTCGGTTAGGATAACAAAGTATTCAGATGGAGGTCCCATACATACCTTAGCTTCTCTCACATGAGGATCATTTTCCTTGGCGACACTGCCAACGCACTTTATCACTGCTGGAACGGCCCCCCTAATAAGCTGCAAATCAGTAGAATTCAGATTTATTTCCCTCATTCGATAGATAGATAGATAGATAGATAGATAGATAGATAGATAGATAGATAGATAGATAGATAGATAGATAGATAGATAGATAGATAGATAGATAGATAGATAGATAGATAGATAGATAGATAGATAGATAGGTAGATAGATAGATAGATAGATAGATAGATAGATAGATAGCATTGAATGACTGCTCAAACATACATAGGTAGTCCGTACTTGCAATGCTTGAGCTCACCCGCGAGGTGGACGGGGTTTAGCGAGCGTCGAGACCTCCCACAACCCCCTCCCCCTGGTGGCTTCGCCATGCAATGTTTTCAATTTAGCACATGTAACACGCACACATGGAAATGCAAGCAGTGATACACGTAAAATATAGTTCATCCCTTCCCCCCCCCCCCCCCTACACTCTGAAAATTTTCTGGCCACGCTGCTGCTTGAGCTCAAGGAGTGCTTGCGGCTAAGTCATAAATGTCACTGCTGCACTCAGCGCACTAACCTTCTTGATGATTGCCGGGTTTATGTCATCGGCTTCTGTGAGGCACTGCTCTTGTGCTGTGTTGATCTTGCTGAGGATCTTCTGAGACTCTTCCTCGTCAAGATGGAGGCCTTGAACGAACTTCTTCACGGCCTTGATGATGGAATCCACGTCCTCTGCGCGATCGAGACTGATTAAAGAATGCACAATGGCAAAGACAATGAGCCTGTCAAGGGCGTCCTCACAAAGTTGAAACAAAAATGTAGGTTCCACCCTTGAAACCGCGATGCGAATGCCTTTCGCCTCTAGGAGCCTCATGCAATAGCGCCTCTTTGCATGCTTTGCTATGCGTGTTGATTCATTGTGCTTCATCAGAAATTTGAAAAGGTTAGCTACTTTAGGACCGTTTACGTGTGGTTTGAATTGGTCGCGCCAAGCAAAGATGAATTAGTTAATAAGTAGCCGCATCGCTGATTCACTGGCCAGGGAGCCCGGCTGCTTGCACTAAGACCATAGGTTCAATTGTGGCAGTGGTAGCCACGTTTACCTTGGACGCCGAAAATTTGAGAGGCTGGTGTGTTTAAATTTTGGTGCAGTTTAAGAAAACAAGGTGGTCTAGATTTACGGAGTCGCAATTAACGGCGTGGAACCCTACGCGGTTGCAGTTTGGGCACGCAAAATCCCAGCCATTACTTATAGAGGTAACAAGCAAAGCGCAATCACAGTTATGCATGATCTTGAACTTAACAATATTGCATGTGATTGAGCAATGATGTACTTACGGTTAGCGTTCACTATGGAGGAGGTGAAGCAGATAATCAGGAAGATAGCGACAACGTGGTTCTTCATGTTACCTGGACGCAATTCGAGGTATACTCAGCGATGTAGCGAGTCAGGTTCGAAGCAGTGACGGCCCGAGGCAAAGTCTTCCAGAGCGGGAACGCAGATGTGATCTGTTGTGCCATACCCACTGAATTTATACAGAACAGCACGAAGACATCTGATTTTGCTACCCCCGGTTTGATGACGAAAAAACGCAAGAAAAAAAAACCTGACAACAGACCTTTTTGAAATGTTTGCTCAGAACGCCATGAACTAGACACGTAACAGAGACAGTGATCTAAGTTACGCTTTTGTTTGCCTGTTATTTTTCTTTTTTTTACTTGTAGCACCACTGTCTTATCGCCGCGGTATCGTCTATGACGAAGGTGCACTTGTGTTGCATAAGGTATACGCATTGTTGCAAAATGATTTGTGCCATGTTCCATGACACCAGCTGCTGGGCAGTGCTAAACCTGCGTAGTGAGGGCTGAGGCTGAATGATGTGGTGGGCAATTTTCCCCAGAGAGGGCGTGGGATAAGAAAAAAAATGGCAGCATATCCACGGAGTGAAAGATGGAGAGTAGGGCGAAGCATCCGTACGTTTATTCGTTCTTGCTTCCGTCCGTCCATGCGTGCGTCTGTTCGTGCGTCCACACGTCTATCTGTGTGTCCGTCCCTGCGTTCGTCCAAGCATCCGCTCTTGCGTCCGTCCATGCGTCCATCCGTCCGTGCAGCCATCCGTGCGTCCGTCCATGCATCTGTCTGTGTGTCCGTTCGTCCACCTATTCAACACTCCAAGTACCACCATATCGCATCTTTTCATCATATATTCCTCATATAGAAGGACCGCCATCCAGCGGACATTCCACGGACTGAGCGAGAGGAGGCACACGCACACTTCCTTACGGCTTGCGCTTCGTGTCTACTTCCCACCTTTAACCACCTCGAGTTCATGGTATATACTAGTTCACTGTATTCATGGCACTGCGGCCCAACGCTCGCTAAACCTTTCTAAAACAGAAGAGGTTACGCCCAGCGAGTATAACGTAGCAACCCTTTCTTGTCAGATAGTGCTCAATGTACATTCCAATGGCTGCTAAGCGGGAATGAGAGACAGGAGAATTCGGTTTTTAGGTAACGCGCACGCTGCGAATTTTTTATTGTTCAACAATGCACAGAAGAAATCTCCCACCGGCACCACCTTGGAGGTCAAAATGTAAGACTGGTTACACACTACTACTTCGGCTACGAGGAACGAACTGGTGCTGCTATAAGAGCTTCGCCCCTAAAAAGAAATAACTCTCGGAATATCTCCTTAGGAAGTTCTTACAAGTGATGCGTAGCTGTATAGCTTTACTGTAGGTGGCGTCCTTCCGTAAAATGATATTTTGTTTTTTGACTGGCGTGGGGCTAGCGTCCTTCATCGCCGTTCTATACACTGCAAAAAAATTTTTCCTGATTACGTAAAAAGGCGTAGGTAACATGCTGCCAACAACTTCCGCAAAAGGAAAATAGTACACCAGAGATCACGTAGAACACATAGAACGTACAGCTCGTTCAATTTTCACGGAAATCTCCGCAATGAAAAAATAAAGTAACGGCTGCTACGGAACAACACCTGTTACTGTAGGGCCATTTCTCGCACATTATTCATAATACTATTGTTACATGTCCGTAAATAACAAACGTGTTTCCATTAGATTTAACATGAGGCATACGTAGTCAGCAGACCTTTCTTTTGCTAGTACAAGGTCATTCAAAATTTCTCAGGCCACTATTCCAACGAATCCTGTGGCAGCGTCACATAGGAATTTTTCAATACACCTGCACATGCTACAAAATTTACGAAGTTAATTCAAATATTTAAAAATGAACAACGACAAGTTTCCTATTCACTGAAATCAAGTTTTATTTTCCCATGATCATAAATCGACAAACAGCACAGACATGCTACAAATTGTGTGTACAAAAATTGTCTAAAAATATATTTTATTTCGGCGGTTTACATCTGGAATTTCAATTCGAAGAAGGAATATCATAACTTCTATATACCCAAAGCACTTGTGTTGTTCTCCAATAGTAATACTATTGTGCAGGCTTCTTTTCTGAAAAAGAGGAAAAACATTTTGTCAGCACAACCACACCAGGCGAGTACAGAGCAAAAAACAGTGCGAGCACAATTAATTTATTCATTTCAAGACTCCTGATAGGCCTTGTTAAAGGTACTTGCTTGCAACACAAAATAATTGATCACACATAATAATAAAAAATGGCTGAAAGCACAAACAACTTCATAAACATGAAATATTGCCTAACAATAATATTTGAGGCAAAAGGAGCAAAGGAGTAATTCAATCTACTAAACAATACAACGAATATGGTTATGCCATGCAAAATTACCCAGCGTCTTTTTTTGCCATCACATTATGGCGGAAAAAGTTTTCACGTTTCTCGAAGTTCGAAACTCGTCCTGGTCATTTAATTCCATTGCCAAAAATGTTGCTATCTAGTTATGAGAGTCTGTAATATGGCACCGACTGAGCTAAAAGTCGTCAAACAACAGTTTTTTTTTTCAAAAGTCATTTGGAATGCACTCAATAAATGGCATTTCCAGCAAGGTAATGAAGCGACCTAACTAAAAATAATGACTTGCTTCTGTATTTCAATTCTTCGAGAGCTTTTCCTACGAGCAATATTGAATAATATTGCCAGGTTTAGCATTTTTTTCTCGTATCATGGCAAATTACAAGGACACGAATAAAATATGTGCTGGTGACCTTTTTGACATGCTACAAATTAAAAAGAATTTATGCACTGATGTTTGCAGATAGTCCTAAAATTGTGAATTTCACTTTTTTTTTTGGAAAAAGCTCTGCATTCGTCATCAAAAAGCTTGCCTTTGTGGTCGGACAAAAAATATGCACATTTCATTTTGAAGCTTTATGTACTACTTCAATATAGGCGAAGTTACTAAAGAATATTATTTTTTAAACTCGAGAAGTATTTTTTGAAGTTATGTGTCTCCGCCAGCTCTACTCCTACCTAACTCAAGCGGCATGAAGCACTCGCAAGGGCAATCTTCAAAAGACTTCCACAGACCTGAGGTACACACAGCAAGCTTCAGGCGGAGCAATTGAAATTGTATTAGCGCTATCATCTGCATTCCATTGCTAACAGAGGTGCGCTACAACGAATGTCGCTAGAGTGCGGAGACCAGTAGCGTTGCGAAAAGATATTTTTCATGTGGGGGTGGTTTGTGAGGGGAAGGCGACTTCAGTCATTTTTATGTACATTCTTGTGTGTTTGTATGTGTGCATGTAGGTATGCACATGCAGAACTAACAAAATCACAGCATATCTACGAAGTGAATGATGATGTGTGGGGCCAAGCTTCAGAGGGTTTTATCGGTAACCATGAATCCGTCCGTCAGTCTGTCACTCACACTAGCGCCTTCTGCTGAGTTATCGATAAACTAGGTGGTCAAGAACCGGTCACAGTAGAAGGACAAACCATGGCTTTAGGATAAAAAATACCTGGACTGTGCTGGGCGGGGGGGGGGGGGGAGTTAAGCAGCTCCTTCTGCCTTCCTGGCTACGCCACTGGTGATGACTCCCAGATGAGCCATCAAGCCATTAAAATATACAGTACACAATTATCCCATACGCCCAGCATAAACGAGACTATCGCCTTGGCTACCAGTTCTTAATTTAAGTTTTTTTCACTTCTGTATTCATATGATAGGCTTTGGGTCTCAAGGACCAGTGTGCTCTCCTGAAAGCCAGAAAAATAAGAAACAGTTGTTTTACTATACCACTTATCAGTGTACTGCATCAATGCTACTAGCATGCTATAAGACGTATATACTGAATATGACTAAATATTTTTATTAAGTGTATAAAACACACGTATTGCATTTGCAGAACTCCACAGGAAAGTAGACTTTCTAACTTCATAACTCTGAAGCTGTATGGCTCATCTGGAAATCAAAACACTGATCCCAGTTCTTGTAGCACCCCTCTGTTGGCAATGGAATGCAGATGATAACCCCTTTCCCATTTCAATATCTCTGTAGAGAGCACCAAATGTGCTCTGTGTATCCTAGGTCAGTGGGGTTCTGTTGAAGATTGCCCTTGCGAATATGTCATGTCACTTGAGTTACGTAGGCGAAAAGCTGGTTCAGATACATATTTAAAAAAACTATTTTTCGAATTTAAAAATAATACCCTCCAGTAATTTCACCTATAATTAGCTTGTCCATAGAGCTTTAATATGAAATTTTGTGTATATATATAGTCCGACCACCAAGGCAAGTTTTTGATGCTGAATAGCGAGGTTTTCCCAAAAAAAGCGACACACAATTCTTTTCAGAGTATCTGATATAACATCAGCGCCTAAATTATTTTTAATTTATAGCGTCTTGAAAGATTACCAGCACATATTTTGTCTGTGTCTTTGGAACTTACCATGTTCCCAGAAAAAATTCAAATGTGGCAATTTCATTCAATATTGCTCGTGTGAAAAGCAATCATAGAATTGACATACATAATTAGCTCATTATTTTAAAGCTAGATAACTTCATTACCTTGCCAGAAATGTCTTTTATCGAGGGCATTCCAACAACTTCTTTTGAAAAAAATTGTTGTTTGACCCCTTTTAGCTTACTTGGGGCCAAACAATAGGCTCTCATAAATAGAGAGGAAAATTTTTGGCAACAAGAATAAGTGACCAGGACGAGTTTCGCACTTCGAGAATTATGTGGAAGTTTCATCAGCCATATTCGTGATGGTCGGAAAAACGTTGAATGATTTGGCATGCAATGACTCATTAGAGATAACATCAACAGATCATTAAAGAAATGATTCAAATATTCCTAAAAAAACAGAAGAGAGGCATTTGCGTGCTACGTGCGGCGTTGCCTTCTTGTGGCAGAAGACATCTTCAGATAAGTACAAACAATTATTACGACATAAATTATAGAAATTAACACAACTATCTATTTAACCAGTGGGAATAGCCACTCGGGTTGATTGGGCGATTTGAACCCCTTCATACAAATAGTCAGTAGCCAGTTTAAAATTTAGGAAACGCGGTTACTGGTAATCACCGCAGAGCAATGCATTCTGCTCAATTT